GTAGGTGGTCTTCCTCTACTGTGTTTGTCAGCTGTATATTCTAGGTATAATAGTTCTAAGGCAAAGGAAATAAAATTGAATGCGCTCAATATACTCCACGTTCCAAACCTTCCAACGTTCCAAGTCAATGTACAGGACAAAAAAGAAAAGGCACCCAGTGCCCAGCACTTCTCAGAGTCTTGATCACCGCAGCGATCAAACAACTAATGGAAGGGGGGTGCTAAGAATCCCTGGGTAAGACCCAGCTGCCACAAGATGACAATTTGGCTATGCTCCTACAATATTCGAACACTGACGGACGACAATAGATTCCCAGAAATAGAAAGTGAACTAAAGGATATAAAATGGGATATCCTTGGTATATGCGAGACCAGAAGAAAAAGTGATGAGTATATAATACTAAAAAATGGCACACATTTTATGCATAAAGGTGGCGAATACACTGGAGTGGGATTCTTGGTAAAACAAAGCCTCACACAGTGTATCGAAGAATTCAAGCCCATATCAGACAGACTAGCATATCTCATCATCAGGATTAATAAAAGAACCACTCTGAAAGTGATCCAAGTTTACGCTCCGACCAAAAGCCACGACGATGAAGAAGTAGAAATATTCTATGATGAAATAAGAACAGCTATAGAAACAAATAAAGCAAATTACGAAATACTATTAGGAGATTTTAATGCTAAATTGGGCAAAAAGAGGAAGATTATGAACATTTAATTGGTAACTATGGCTACGGGAAAAGAAACGATAGAGAAGAAATGCTTCTCAATTTCATGAATGAACATAACATGTACTCAATGAACTCCTTTTTCAATAAAAAACCAAGCAGAAAATGGACATGGATGAGTCCCGATAAAAAGACAAAGAATGAAATAGATTATATCTTAACGAAGAATAGAAACCTAGTAGAAGACGTATCAGTATTAAATCAGTTTGACCTAGGAAGCGATCATAGACTAATAAGAACAAAACTAATAATTAACAAAAAACTAGAAAGAAAAAGAATACATGAAAAAAGATACAAATGGACATCTGAAGAAATCAAAAATAGTGAATTTAATAAAAAGATAGTGCATGCATTAAATCAAGTTAGCATTCAGCAGGTAAACTCCAATAATATTGATGATTTGAATAACCTTATTACCGAAACAGTGAATAAAAGCCTTCTGCAACTGAAAAACCCAAAAACAACATACAATGAATTAGACAAAGAAATATTACAACAAATAGAAAGAAGGAAGATCTTAAATAAATCTAACCAAAGGGGAACCGACGAATATAGAGAACTTAATAGGCAGATTAGAAAAGGAATTAGACAACAAAAAAGAAAAGAAAACGAAAAATTAATAACAACAACTATTGAAAAAATAAGAGTATGAAATGCCTCAGACCGACACTAGGACGACGTCAGATGATATGATTAATGGGAAAAGACGAAAATGAAATCACAAGTAGAGAAAACATACTGACACGAATAGAAGAATTTTACACAGAACTTTACAGATCACATCAACAAGATGATGAGATGTGACCAGCACGGAAATTAATAAAAAATGTTGGATCAGAAATAATGCTAAAAGTAACAATTTCAGAGGTAACTACAGCATTGGAAAACATGAAGAGAAATAAAGCTGCAGGAGAAGATAGTATTACCACAGCTATGATATTAGAAGGAGGTAAGGAACTAATTGCAATTGTAACTAAGCTTGTGGACAGTTGTTTACATCAGGGCAAAGATCCCTAAGAGCTGAAAAAACTCTAAAGTAATCTTATTACACAAGAAAGGTGATAGTAGAAAATTGGAAAACTACAGACCCATCAGCCTACTTTCACGCCTGTTTAAAATACTCACCAAAGTCATAACTACTCGACTAACAAGGAAATTAGACGAATACCAACCATATGAACAGGCAGGTTTTAGAAAAGGCTATTCAAATTCCGATCATCTGTTAACCACAAAAATATTAATAGAAAAATGTAACGAATACAAGTTTTCAGTTTTCCTAGCATTTGTAGACTACGAAAAAGCTTTCGATACCATAGAACACACGGCCGTAATAAACGCAATGCAAAATTGTAGAATAGACAGCAGATATATTAACTTAATAAAAGAAACTATGAACCAAGCTACAGCTACATACTACCTAAATGAAAATTAACACACGAACCCTGTATCATTAAACAGGGGAGTCAAACAGGGAGATACTTTATCACCCAAACTGTTCACCTTAGTTTTGGAGGACGTTTTTAAAAACCCAAATTGGAAATATAAAGGAATAAACATCAATGGCCGCTACCTCAGTAATCTACGATTTGCAGATGACATAATCCTGATAGCTACTGACCTACAAGAAATGCAAACCATGCTTTTAGAACTACATACCGAATCTTCTAAAATAGGACTGAAAATGAATTTAAACAAAACAAAAGTCATGCACTCCGAAGACACCGTGACAATAATAAACGATAAAGTTATAGAAAAAGTTGAAGAATATATATACTTAGGACAAAAAATAATGATAATCCTAAATAGGGAAATTCAAACTGAAGAAATAAAAAGAAGAAGAAAGTTGGCTTGGGCAACATTCGGTAAACTGGACTATATACTCAGAAATCAACAAGTTTTTAATGCATGCATTATTCCGATATTATGCGATATTAACTTATGCGGCACAAACATGGACAATTACAAAAAAGAATATGAATATACTTAGAGTCACTCAACACGCGATGGAAAGAGCAATGCTAGGTATATCACTTAAGGACAAGAAAACAAACACATGGATAAGACAGAAAACCAAAGTCACCGATGTGGTGCAAAAATCATTAAAGTTGAAATGGGAATACTCTGGACATGTAGCTAGGAGCGATCTAAACAAATGGCACAGATCAATTTTAACCTGGAGACCATACAACACAAAAGACCCAGAGGCAGACCTCCTATGAGATGGACAGATGATCTGAAAAGGACTGCCGGGAAAAAGTAGCGTACAAGAAAAATCAATGGAAAGGAAGACTTGAAGAGGCTTATGTTCAGATGTGGACGTGAATGGCTAGACGAAGAAGAAGAAGAAGAATATACTCCAGCATTTAGTATTTTGTGGAGCCGCCATCATAACTACACAAGTTTCATCACTTGTAACAACAAACTAACGAAGTAGGCGCTGTTGTCCAATTTTTTAAACGAGTAAATTTTACTGATAAATAGGAAGTCCAACAATATGCTGCAATATGTGATGCAGCAATGCCCAAACCGAGTAGTCACTGTGTTATAAATTAGTATACATTGTCCAGGTGGCTGAAACTATAGACTTCTATGATTATCATTATCGATATAGTTCCACAAGGGAAAACATTGGGGCGCTGACACTCAACGCAAACGTGTCACTGAAAGATATAAGTATAGTTTAAAATTATTTAGATTTCTTGAAACAAGATACAATAGGCTGTTTGACAGCTTGAAAGTTAATGTGAAGTTCGAAACATAAAAAAATTAAATATATTTTACAATTTATGCTGTGTTTGTTCGAAACAATATTAGAATCTTACTTCGAATGAAAACTGAAGGACTACCAATGAGAACGCCAGTGCAGCATACCTCCAAACGTCAAATGAGAAATAAATAAAAAGAAGATTATTAAATTAAATTTTTGATTAAATATCAGGTCATGGTTCTCAAAGTATATTTGTCAGAATTTATGTCATATGATAATGACAATATTATCCTAATTATAAATTTATTTAGCCAAATGTCTTACAATAATTTTATTTAGAAGTTAAAATGTAAAACGGTAATAAAAATGGCAACAATTTTTAGGGCTGGTCACGTAAGTATTTTAATACAATCATAAACGCAGGTTAAAAAAATTAATTATAAAATTCGATATTAAATGTAAGTAATACGGACTATGAACTCATAATGGTCCTCTTTATTATTAGACTCTTAGTCTATTTTATATTGTACGAAGAAAAGACAGACGAGACGCAAATGGAATCAGCACGTAACACGAATGGACACAGAGACTAGACCGAGTAAAAAGGAATTTACAACCAACACACATCAAACCACCAAGAAGTTTTTTTAAAAGATTGAAAGATAGCTGGCAATTGACGTCAGAAATACAGCTACAGGACCAAAAGGGAAATTGTGTACAATTTGATGAATTTTTGTATTTTGATGGTTCTCTCTATGTCCGTCTTTGTTTAACTTAAAACAGACTTTGTCCAATAAAAATACTCTTTCCTGAAAAATTTCTTTTGTGGGACACGGTGTGTTTATTTGTCAGTTCCACATTTAAGAAACGAAATGTAAAAATGAATTTAACTTAAGATTTTGGAATAGGATTTGCAAAAACCTGGCTCTCCACTTAGCTTTAACTTGGGAAACACATAATAGCACTTTTTTGAATTGTAGACATATTTAAATTTATAGATACCAAAAAAGCACTTAACACGATATAATGTTTACTTTAAACAAATGTGTGCCGGAAACTGACAAAATAATTAGACCCTTAAAAGGAGATAGGTACTTATGACTTGCTGCGCTAATAAAATAATCCTTTCTTTTGGAAAATCCACAATTATTAGATGCGGGCAGTAATGAGACAGTCCAGAGAAAAAAAAATGAGCTTGTTCATATCGAACTTATAAAATTTCTTAAAAGTTTAAACTTTTATAAGTATAATCCCAAGACAATCAAACGACTATACACACGGCCGTTAGTCTTGAACACCTCTCTAGTGGTGAGACGGTGCAAAGAAGTTTCATTTTTTGAGAAATTTTGAGCGCATTTCAAATTTGAGAATAATTTCGGAGATAAAAATCAAAACGTTAACTATAAGGTTTTTTTTTTAATAAAAATTATGATTTATTTTCACAAAATATAGCACTTATAAAATAATTTCAGAATCATACTCTCTAAGATTCATAGCTTTTGTCAATAATATTAAAAAGAATGATATTTTGCAAAAGTTGAACTATGAACTATATTTTAGATTAAACAAACATACTGTTCAGAACAGAGAAAAATTGCTACAGATACCATTCAACAACTAGATAACATTAAAAACGTTATTGAGGAACGCGACGATTTAAGACGGAAGCTAGAACAATCACAACAAGAACTTGAAGAACTTAAAGTAAGTTATTCTTTAATAAATATGATCATTTGTATATGTATTAACTTTTCGTTTTGCTAAAACAAACTATCTCCATTTGCAAAAAGTAGTTTTATATTTAGGTTTTAATAAAAATGTCTCTTAACTCTAATAGTTCTTAGTGCTGACTTTGTGTTAAGAAGTTTATTGCACAGACACGATTCAGTCTTCTTGTAACAAGTCACCCTTTGCATGGTTTAATAACAAACTCACCCCTCCTCAAATATATGATGGATATTCGTCTTCAATTTATTTTTTGACATATCGCATTTATATTCAATATAAAGGTCGTATCTACATAAATAATGATGTGGCATCAAAAGAGGAAATACAGAAAGAAATAATTAAAATAGCAAAATAAGGAAATCATGTAAAGGAAATCAGACAAAAATAGGCTATAAGAAGTGCATCATAAATAGGAAAGAATGGATAAAGAAAAACAACAAAAAAAAATACCAGAGTAAAATTTACCAAAATCTAGTAGAAAACACTAACTGAGGAGATGGGAATGATACCAAAACGGCAAGCAAAGGAATATGACCCTGAAAAACGTAAAAATTAACACAAAAGAAAGGCAACCATCTAAAGAAATTGGGGCATGAAATATAAGAGGTACTTAAGACACTTAGACCAAATAATATAAAAATACACAATAGATATCCTTACCCTGCAAGAAATAAAACAACTGGGAAATGAAATGATTAAAATAGGAAAGAGAACACTGTTCAAAAGGGTGGACCAAGAGATATTTTGGAGTGGGATTCTTGATGCCGGAGAAAGTAAACAAAGCAATTGTAGATTTTTAACCAATCTTCTTCTTCCTATGCCGTCTCCATTAACGGAGGTTGGCGACCACATTTTTAAAAGCTTCTCTGTCTTTTGCAACGTGGAATAATTCGTCTACAGTCATGTTTGTCCAGTCTCGAATATTTCGCAGCCATGACTTCCTCTTTCTACCTATTCCCTTTTTGCCATCGACTCTACCCTGCATGATGACCTGCAGAAGACTATATTTATTATTTCTTAGTATGTGTCCAAGGTATGCAGTCTTGCGTACTTTTATCGTTCTCAACAATTTTTTGACTCGACCCATTCTTCTCAGTACTTCCTCATTGGTGACCCTGGCAGTCCATGGGATTCTCAACATTCTCCGGTATATCCAAAGTTCAAAGGCTTCAATCTTTTTAACTATTTGCGCTTTTAGTGTCCATGTTTCTACCCCGTACAATAATTGCGACCAGACGTAACATTCAACAAACCTCAGTCTCAGCGAAATATTCAGATTTTTGTCACAGAACCATTGTTTGAATTTTAAGAACGCTGCCCTTGCCATTTCTATTCGTACCCGGATCTCTTGGTCTGGATCTAATTCTGTGTTGATGTAAGCTCCCAGATATTTATATTTTGTCACTCTCTCTATTTGCTGTCCACCAAGAGTTAGTTGTTCATTATTTATTGGACTCCTTGATACTATCATAAATTTGGTCTTATCTGTGTTGATGTCAAGTCCCATTTGAATGCATTCACTATTTATTGCATCTAGTAAAGTTTGTAGATCTTCTATACTCTCAGCCATAATTACCGTGTCATCTGCAAATCTCATGGTGTTTATGATTTCTCCACCAATTCTTAATCCCTCTTTTCTTTCCCATAAGGCTTTTCTGAATATGACCTGTGAGTACACGTTGAAAAGCGTCGGAGACAAGACGCATCCTTGCCTAACCCCTCTCGCAATCGGTATATTATTTGTTTCTATATCATTCACCTTTACTACTACTTTCTGGTACCAGTATATAGCCTTAATAAACTCAATGTCTTTTTTGTCTAAATTGATGTTTTTTAATTCATCTATTAACTTCATATGCTGCACTCGGTCAAAGGCCTTCCTAAAGTCTATGAAGCATACATATGCACTTTTGTTATATTCCCGACATTTCTGCAAGAATACCGTCAACGCAAATAATGCCTCTCTTGTACCCATGCCTCCTCTGAAGCCAAACTGAGTTTCATCTATCTATCATCTATCCTCACATTTCTTATAAATTCGGTTTTGAACAATTTTCAAAAGAATCTTTAAAGGGTGGCACATTAGGCTTATCAATCTATAGTCATTACATAATTTGGGATTGTTGTTTTTTGGTAGAGGTAAAAATATCGATTTAAGTCATTCTTCCGGGATGTTGCCCTCTACATATATGTGGTTGAGAATTCGGGTGAGTCTCTTTATATTACCGTCATCTAAGGCTTTTAACAGTTCAACTGGAATTTGATCAGGACCCGGTGCTTTTCCTTGTTTTGCATTCTGTAGGGCATTCTTTACTTCTGAGGGTAAAATTTGTAGGTATTGTTTTTCTTCACCTATATCTTGTTCATTTTCTCTCTCGTCATGGAAAAGATGGATTATATATTGTTCCCATACTTCCTTTATTTTGCTCTCTTCAGTAAGTATTTCTCCATTATTATCTCTTGTTATGAGTGTTCTTCTTTGTTTGGTGTTGCCTGTAAGTTCTTTAATTTTTTTTATGAAATATCAGACTGAATTTGTTACTTGAGGGTAAGAGAAAAATATAGGAAAATATGTATAATTAATGTACATGCGTCCACTGAAGACAAAGATTTAGAAACCAAAGCAGAGTTCTTCAAAAAGGTAAGCACCCTAATAGGGAATATACAGAAATATAATATAAGGGTAATCATTAGTGACATGAAAGCGAAAATCGGAAAAAAAGAAATATATAGAAGAACAACAGAAGGATGAAGTTTACATAAGGAATCAAATGAAAAGGGGGACTCTCATACGAGGCAATGAGAAAATCGGAAATACCAGAAAAGCTGATAAGGCAAGTGAGAATGACGTTTACGAACACGATAAATAGAGCAACAGTTTGAGGAAGCTTTCCAATACAGTTCACAAGAGAACTCAAAGAATACAGGAAAAGAACGAAAAGAGATAGACAAAAAATTAATGAAGGTAAGCAGAAAATATTTGGAAATATTTGGAAAAGACGAACAGATAAAAAAATATTCAGGATCTATAAAAAACAATTACGGCAAAAATACGAGCTCAAAGAGCTACTCGGCTTGGTCACATTATACGAATGCTAAAAAAACTGAATTGTTTTAACAATACTGAAGGAGGGAGAAATGGGGGAAAAGAGGATGTTAAAAAAGAAATGTTTGGAAGCAGCAAAGCAAGATTTGGAGAGAAAAAGCAAGGGACCGGAAAAAACGGAGAAGAAATAACCAAGTATTTAAAGCTCCAGACTACGGCTGTAGTGCTATTATAAGGGGTTAAATACGATAGAAGATGTCAATTCACTATAACTAATATCAAAAAAGTTCATTAAATTATTTTTTTTTTTTTTTCAATACTATATCAACAGGTGGTGCTTTATATGGGATGAAATAAGTCAAAAATGTCAATGTCATGTCAAATTTGAAATGATATAACCAATAACAAAAACTTTATATATTTTTTAGAATTTGTTTAATAATCTTTTATGAAAACGATTTCTGGAATGAAAATCGAAACTACAAATATAGTTAATCAAAAATGTAATTTTCATTACAACAAATAATTGTGGCTTAATCCCATAGAAACATAATATTTAAATCAAAAAGAGTTAAAAATAGTATATTGAAGTACGTAATAAAAAAACATAATTCCAAACCAATAAATGTTTTTTTCAAATTATTAGATGCTTCATTTTCCACTTTTATTGGTTTTTTGAAAAAAAGGTAGTTTACACTCTTAACAACAATAAGTACATATCGGCATAAGTTAAATATTGATATAGAGGATAAATAGAGCTTATTTCTACAATTTTAGAAAATCGATGTGTCCTCAAAGATACCTGAGGTTATACTTCATTTATACTTCAACCATGGTACGCTGGCCTATAAGAAGTAGAAGAAAAGTTTAAAAAAAAGTCTGACAAAATTTTATGGACCTAACTCATTTGGTGACGTCAATCTACATACGAAATTATAAAATCCGATATTACTGAAAAAATTTGTTGGTTTAAAGGATTTAGTTAAAAGATTTATTAATAAGGTTCATACAATTTTAAAACATCCCTAAAAGTAGTGAAAATAAACAACTAGAAATATTGGCTATATATTAAACTAAACAATTGCAACAAAGAATTGAAAAGATATACACGGTATTTCAACGAAAATTTGGTCCCCCTAAAACATATCAAACTAATATTTTGTCATAAATCAAAAATACTACAAAATTTTATATTAAGGGACCAATTTTTATGCAAAAATGGTACTTTGAAACTTTAACGCTGTGTTGGAGGTTTCAACCCCCTGCAAATTATTCTCTCATCTCATCACTCTCATCCACTTTTAGAAAAATTTATAATGAATCAATATATTACCAATTACGCAAAACTAGATAAATAGATTAGTTTAAATTAATTAACTGTATGTAGTTTGTAAATAATTTATTCTTAAAAATAAGGCATATGTAATATATATTATGAAATAATACATTTGTTTTTTCTATTACGATGGGCTTTAAAGGCTCTGATTACCTCCTCAAATACTTCTTTAACTCCTTCGTGTTTTAAAGCAGAACATTCAATATATTTAGCTGCTCCTAATTCTTGAGCAATTTTTACACCATATGAAAAAGATACAGGTTTAAGATTTTTTTGTTTCAATAACTTCACAGTATCAGGATTATCTCTTAGATCTTTTTTTAGTCCAACTATCACTATAGGTGTATTTGGGCACATTTCTCTTATTTCTGGTACCCAAATTTTTTGAAGACTGGTTAAACTGGCTGGAGATCCAATAGAAAATCCTAACAGAAATATGTCCGCCTTGTCGTACGTAATTGGTCGTAATCTATTGTAGTTCTGTTGACCTGCCATAGAAATTAGACACAAACTCACATCTTTGCCATCCAGGGAGATATCATATTCACCATTATCCCAAACAGTAGGTACATAGTCTGCAGGATACACATTCGTCGTATATGTTATAAGAAGGCTTCTTAAACCTACTGATTCATCACCAAATGTAACACATACTATTTTATTCATTTTTACTTTAAAATTATCACATAAACCCACCTATATATTACTAATTGTATTGGTTGTTGTACTAGTTTAATATTATGTGTGTATCTTATCAAGAGATAACAGTTTTAAATTTAATTTTTTTCTGATAATCGACGATTAGTAATAGAAAGAAAGAGAGCATATTGACAGAGGTGTGAATTTATATATCAATCAAAGATATACTAGGTACCACCTTAACTTGAGAAAAAAAATAAAAATATGCTTTAACAGTATGAAGTAGTACTCAAACATATACTAAATATATTATTCACAATTTTTATCAGTCCAGAAAATTATTAAAGCGAAGATTATTAAAAAAGTAGTTTTATGACCAAAATAGTTAACGAATTGAAGAAGCCGAAGCCGCAAATAACGAATGAAGTTGACAACAATAAATATTTTTTATAGTAGTATTGCTTCTTTACATGCTAAGTTTGTTAACTTTTTGTCATTTACATCTTCTTATTCCGATATTCACATTTTTGTTGCGACATAATCCTGGTTAAATCCCAGAATATCTAATTCTTTTACAAAACTTTATTCCATTTATCGTTTCTAAATATCGTTTAGATCGAACAGGAGGCGAAATATGTGTTTACTTTCATAGTGGCTTCTTTAAAAAATCTAAAATAAGTACTGTAGTCCATAATCTGGAAGGTGTTGTAACAAAAACATGGATACCAATATTAAAAAATAACAAACACCCTTCCCGCAAAACTCGAAGAAAAAAAGCTGCTACAAACGACGACACGCCCCCTCTCACCGAAACCAGAGGGTGGGGGGGGCGTAAAATATAAATATGGCCTCCGTAGTACAACGCGGAGTCAGTTTCAGCTTACAAGCGAAGCAGTAATATCTCCAGAAGATACCAACCCCTAGTGTTGGCGAAGTGTCGAGAACTAATTTCAGAAGACAACTACCTAGATTAGATTATGTGAGGTCGTTAAGGCCGTGCGGCCTCACCGCACTTCGACCTATACAGAGCTTTTGTGCATACCTTAATCTAGTTAAACTCTAGAATGCCAATACTTCTGATGAAGTTGATCATCTATCTTAGATCCATCCGTATACCATACGAGTGAACCCTCTTCCACTTTTGGCTCAATTTCTTCACCCATTTGGTGGTTTTTTATGACCACTTCAAAGGGTGTTTCAAAGTCGAATTTGACTGGCATAGCATCTGTTGGCATGTCCTTAGAATCCAATGGAATTTCTTCCACGATTTTTAGGTGGCCAACTAGATCTCCAGGTTTCATTATTTGTGTCTATCGCAGTTTTAACGTGGTAGTTACTACCTCCCTCCTTATGCAGAACTGCAAGGGAGGAAGGTTTAGCATCGCCTCTAGAGCTGCAGTGGGGCATGTTGACATTGCCCCTGTGATTCCCAGACAAGCTAGCCGCTGCACTTTTTGCAGCTTAGCGTTAGCTGTTGTTTGTTGTGTTTTTGGCCACCATACGAATGATGCGTATGTGACCATGGGCTTAATTATTGTTTTATATGACCACAGAGTCATTTTCGGTTGTAGGCCTCAAGTCTTTCCAAATGTCTTGCGGCAGGTCCAACTTGCCACCAAAGCTCTGGATAAAATTTTTTCAATATGACTATTCCAGTTGAGTTTTTGATCTAGGGTTACCTCCAGATATTTAACTTTCTTGGAATAGTCTAATGTGATACCATTCATAGTTGGAGCCTGTAAATTGTATTAACGTCTCCTTGTGAAAGGTATCAAAGTCGTTTTACTGGGGTTGACACTTAAGCCATCCTTCGAGCACCAGCTTTTAATTTCGTTAAGAGCAGTTTGCATGAGACTAGATATAGTCTGGTCATGCTTGCCCCTAATTGTAACAACTAGGTCATTTGCGTAACCTTGGGTTATAAAACCAGAATCATGCAGCTTAGTGAGGAGGTCATCCACAACCAAAGACCACAGTAGAGGCGATAATACTCCCCCTTGAGGGCACCCCTTTACCGCTGTCACAGTCACAGATTCTCCTCCAATACTAGCAGTGATGATTCTCGTTTTTAGCATTGACTGAATCCATTGTATTAGTGAGACTTCAATGCTTCTCTTTACTAGTGCTCTTTTTATGGATTCAAATGAGGTATTATCAAATGCTCCCTCTATGTCAATGAAAGCGCAAAGAGCTATTTCTTTTGCCACTATTGTCTTTTCAATTCTTTCGACTAGCGAATTCAGAGCATTTATAGTGGATTTGTCAGTCTGGTAGGCAAACTGATGTTTGTGAAGTGGATTCTTCGCTAAAGACAACTACCTAACAACCCGAACAAACAGTTTAACATGTTAGATGATGGCCGTGAAAACCTAATGCATTTTATCAGTCGCCTCTACAAGGAGGAGGTAGATACATACTCCAGAAGACTAGATTCTCTACGGAAGAAGAAACTTCTTGCTTCATTAGCTTTTCTATCACGATGTCGAGACAACGGGGTACTAACGAATTTCTTACGAACAAATCGATCCATTAGAAAAAGTCAAGCCAATAGAATATACACGCATGGAGCACTATTACGAGAACGAATACATGACACCAAATGAAATTTGGCGATAGTTGACATGGAGCTTCTAGATTTGTTTTCAGCAACAGTTTGAAATATGCAGATTGGAAAAAAATTGAATCCATTTGTTACAGGAAAATGAACTAAGAAGGAACACTGAACGCAAGATATACAAATACGAACGCTTAACCAAACATACGGAGGTAGAATTAAAATAACACACAGAAAGAACAGTGGTCATCCTTCAGATAAGTTTTTAACTCCAGCCGAATCATCATTGCTAATTAAAGGGGGAAATTTTGCGATTACACCTAAAGTTATACCCAAAAAAGATATCATTGCTAATATCGAGTCTAGGATTCGCAACTTACCAGTCAAAAAATCTGAAGAAATAAGGAAAGAATTTTGCATAAAACTAAGACACCGAAAAATAACCTGAGATACCAAGAAATCCGTGCCATAAAATCGTTAAACGCAGACAAAGATGTTGTAATTTTACCAGCAGACAAGAGAAACGCCACCGTCGTAATGAAGACAACCGACTACAAAACGAAAATGCAAAATCTTCTAGATCCTGCGGTATATAAAAAACTTAAAAAAGATCCCACAGCAGTCACCCTACGGAAAATCAATAGACTTATAGAATCTTCGTCCATACCAGAAGATATAAAGCCAAGAATATGCAACAGCGAAGCAGTCCCACCACGCTTGTATGGCTTACCGAAAATACACAAAGACAATGTACCTCTACGCCCTATTGTGAGCCCCATAGAATCTCCGTCTTACAGCCTTGCTATACATCTGGTCGCTATTTTATAACCACATATAGGAAAAACGATGCCTTTTTAAATGACTCCGCCCATTTCATCGAGAAGATCAAAAGAAAAACTTTACAGGAATCTGACATTCTTGTTAGCTTTGATGTTGTTTCCCTATTTAGAAGAGTTCCCTAGATGACGTTCTGAATTTAATTGGGGGCTAGTTTTCAAGCATATGGTGGAATTATACCATATTTGCCTCACTACCATCTACTTTTCAGGAGAAGACCAGATTTATGAACAGATATATGAAGTAGCAATGGGAAGCCCACTAAGCCCGGTCGTAGCCAACGTTTTCATGGAGCATCTAGAGAAGAGGGTAATGGACACAGCATACAAGTCAAGGATATGGTTTAGATACGTCGATAACACTTTTGTTATTTGGGGTCGCGGAGTAGAAAAACTTAGCGATTTTCTATCTTATATAAACACACTACATCCAAATATTCAATTTACGATGGAAACAGAGAAAGATCAACAACTAGCGTTTCTAGATGTATTAGTAAATCAAAAGGAAGGTTACTTAGGACATAAAGTGTATCGAAAAACTACACACACGGACAGATACCTAACCAAAAACTAAAATCATCAACAAGGTATCATCAAAACTCTGGCGGAAAGAGCGAAGAGAATTTGTGAACCACAGCATCTGGAAAGTGAACTGCTTCATATTGAAAAAGCGCTCACCTCTAATGGTTATACCAGAAGAGAAATACATAAAGCGTCCCTAGAAGAAAGGACGAAGAAACAGAATGTATAGGCACAGCAATCTTGTCGTATATATCAGGGGCAACGGACAGAATTGGGCGAATACCAACGTAGAGACCATTTTCAAGCCTACAAAGAAAATCAAGGACTGTGTAAGATCGGTGAAGTACAAACGCGACCCTTTAGCAACGGCCAGAGTGTACCGGCCGTAAAAAATAATATATTATGCAAAAATGAGGTTGATTTAATGTAAATTAATTAGCTATATTTACTTTACAAGTAATTTAATCTTGAAAAATAGGACACAATAAATATATATTATGAAATAATACATTTATTTTATCTATTATGATGGGCGTTAAAGGCTCTGATTACCTCCTCAAATACTTCTTTAACTCCTTCGTGTTTTAAAGCAGAACATTCAATATATTTGGCTGCTCCTAATTGTTCAGCTACTGCTGCCCCATCAGAATAAGATATGGGTTTAAGATGTTTCTGCTCTAACACCTTAATACAATCAGGATCATTTCGAAGATCTTTTTTTAACCCCACTATCACTATAGGTGTACGGGGGCATGCTTTTCTTATTTCTGGTACCCAAATTTTCTGAAGATTTTCCAAACTTTCTGGATGCCCAATAGAAAACCCCAAGAGGAATACATTCGCTTTCTCGTAAGTGAGTGGTCGAAATCTTTTATAATCATCTTGACATGCCACAGAATTTAGTGATAAATTTATAAATTCACCATCCAGTATGATATTTTGTGTATAGTTATCCCAAACACTAGGTACGTAGTCAGCAGGATACACATTCGTTGTATATGTTATAAGAAGGCTTTTTAAACCAACTGATCTATCACCAAGTGTAACACATACTATTTCATTCATTTTTTTAATATCACATTAACCCACTGAGAGATTACTGAATGTAGTGATCATTGCACTTACTTAGTATTATATCTATATCTTATCAGTAGATAACCATTTTAGTATCCTTTTTCTGATAATCAACCATAGGTAATAGTAAGAAAAACAATGCCCTTTCATATGTATTATAGTCGGAAATATAAATAGTAAAGTTCTTCTCATAGCCTTCTGTAGTGCGTCACAGTTTTTCGATTTCTTTCTAACGCATTAAGTTGGATGTGACGGAAAAAGCGGTAGGTCCGTGATTAAATACAAAAATATTGCAACGTTATATAATAACTTTGTTCTAATTTAAGGTCACACCAGAAAAGTGGAGGAAATACGTTAGGCATGCAGAAAATCTTATTAATGAATATTGGGAAGACAGCAAAAAGAATTGACACAAGCCACAAACCACATATTTCCTTTAATTCAAACCACAAATTTAATTAATTAAATGCCAGAAATAAACTGACCCTCAGGCCGTTTTTCGTTTGAAATTTTTGGCATTATTGGTCTCTATTTTCCTTGTGTTTATTCCTTTATATTCCACTTTTTTCAAGTAATATTTAGTGTTTAGTTCCTTATATTCCCAGTGTCTCCTAGTTATTTAGTTGTGTGTATTTGTACTTACCTTCCATATTATATATATATATATATATATATATATATATATATATATATATATATATATATATTGATTACAAAATTATGAAACTCGATATTACCTAACCAAAAATGTTAGGTTAGGTTAGATTAATTTAATTTCGAGAATCAGCAAATCGTTCTTCTTCTTATGGTATATATCACTTGATATTGTGAAAGTACTGTCACTGTCACGATCGAGACCATTCTGCGTCAAATTATATTTATGTGCATAATTTATTGGATGTCTATTTAGCGTATTCTAAATTCCATCCAATTATACATCCGTAAGTAGAATTCGCTTTATTATGCGAATATTCGTGAACGATTCCTAATTTTCTAAATTCTATGTATAATAATTACAGACTCACGTTTTTTTCTGTCACTTCTAGCTTAATATGTTAGAGAGAATTCGAACAACTATGACACACTGAAAGAAGGGTTTGGGACGGACTATACATTATTTCCCATTTGATGATAAATGATCCAAATCTACTTGGCGTTTCTAAGGTGGAGAAGAATAATTACCACTAGTACTTGGCATTGAAGCCATATTGTTACCTTAATAACACTAATATGTCGCTAAATAGTTCTGAAAACAACTGTTTTTTATATAAATGCAAACGAAAAATCTAAAGATGTAAGAAATAACACAGAAAATACAAAAAATTGTCGATATAAATTTTGAATATTAAAATTTCACAAATGTCATTAGTGTCAATATGTCATAATTTAGTGGAGTAAACTTGCCTGCGCTTCGCCCAATTACAAACAAGCATTTTGGCGCAGAAAATTTGAATTACTCCTCCTGGTTTAAAAATAGACCATAGTAAATGCAAATCGTTCGTGCAGCATAAATTTTGACTAGTCAGAAAACAGTCTAATTCCACGTCTGCGCAGAGTGCATAGTTTACAAACGATAAACAAACCTAATAATATCTCTTTGGATTACTAAAATAACTAACTGATAGTGTTCATTTTAAAAAGAAGTGACGAATTAAAATCATAAACTAATGTCTTCGATAACATTGATCAATAATAGAAATTATTTTTTTCAGACTGTCATAGCATCAGATAGCCCTCAGAGTAAAATTCCCAATTATGGTGAAGGTCAAAGTGAATATAATAATTTAGATAGAACTATTGACACCACTTTAAACTACCAGCAGATAAATGCACTTGAAACCGAAATCGATCAGATGGTTCAACAAATAGACACATCCCAAACAGAACCTGAACAGATTAAGAAAGAGTTCGAAAAAGTGTTAAAACAATATTGCTCCAAACTATCTATTGTACAAAAACAGAATAACGAATTAAAATCTCAGATTTATGAACACGACAAAATATTTGCAATACTTGGGTGTAGGGAGCATACTCCACTACAATTACATGAACTTAAACATAAAATAGATCGTCTCAATAGTACAATACGAGAAAGGGATACATTAAAAAACAAAGTTAACAAACTTGAAAAACAGCTTTATGCATACAGCTATCTTCCAGAAGATGTAGAAATATTCAAGCAACGATCTATGCTTTTGGATGATGTTTTGGAAGACAGAGATCGGTTAAGTCAAAAAGTGGAGGAACTTCGCAGTCTGGATCAAGAAGTTACTATTTTGAAAAAGAAAGCTTGTAGAGTAACTGAGCTAGAAGATAATTTGTTGAAAATGAGTAAGGAAAAAGCATTACTTGAAGAGGAAATGAACGAGCTTCGTGAAAAATGTTCAGCAGTTGAAATAGAAAACTACAACAAGCATGCTGAAGGTGATACATTACGTTCGAGGCTAATATGCATGGAACATGAAATGGAAAGTCTGAAATATCTTTGCGAGGATAAGGAATGTCTTATTTTAGAAAAAAATCATCTGAAGGACAGTCTGGACGAATATATAAGAATGCAAGGAGATTTCGAAGAGATGAAAAAGCATATGAAACGTTTGGAAGTATTTAAAGCTGAAAGAGATATTTTTAAGTCAAAATATGAAAATCTTATTGGTTTAGAATGTGAGTGTGATATTCTAAGAACCCAGGTTGAAAAAGCCAAAACTATTGAAAGGGAACGAGATGCTTTGGAAACTCAAGTAGAAGATTTAGAAAACTGTATCGCAGAACAGGAGAACGAAATAAAGCGATTAGTTTGTCACATTGACATGATGGCGAAAGAAAGAGATGAAGAGCAGGTAAGTTTTTTTAATTCTCTTTGCTAATTCTCGATCGGTATAGCTCTTATTTACTTCTTCCCATGCCATATAATCACGCGACGTTGGAGATCAATCTGGCTCATATTCTTCTTCAGATGATATTGAAAATGGATCTTTGGATCTCTTGGATCTTTCCCTGCATAATCAGTTGGAGCAAGGTGTATTTCTATTCACATGTAATATGTCCGAGATATTCTAATTTTCTTGTTTTAATTGTATTTAAAATGTCCATTTCTTTATTTATCCTTGTCAGAACCTCTTTGTTTGTGATGTGTTTTGTCCACGATATTTTCAGAATTCTTCTATATACCCACAGCTGAATGATTTCAGTTTTTTCATTGATGTCGCATTCAAGGTCCAAGATTCGATTCTATAAAATAAAGTCGAAAAAACATAGTACCTCGCCAACCTAACTCTTAGTTCCAGTTTTAAGTCCCTGGAACATAGCACTCTTCTCATTTTGTTGAAATTTGTTCTAGCCTTTTCTTTTCTTATTTTGATCCCCAAATGTAATCACTTAGCTCCCAGTTATTTCTTTATGGTTTCGATATTTCCATAAATTTCGTCTTGTTGACATTCATTGTTAGACCATACTCTTTTCCATACTCTGCTATTCTGGTCAGCAGTCTCTGAAGATCTTCAATGTTTTCGGCTAAGATCACGATGTCGTCCGCATCTCTAATATTGTTAATGGGAACTCCATTTACATTTAGTCTAGCTAATTCACCCTCAAGAAAGTTTTTCAGGATCTCTTCGGAGTAGGCATGAAAAAGAATTGGCGACAGTACGCATCCTTGTCTCACTCCAAATCTAATTTCAATTTCTTCTGACAGCTGGTCGTTAACACGTACTTTTGATCGCTGTTTATACTATAAATTTGATATGATCCTAGGTCGTTGCAGTCAAACTTCTTTGATTTCAGAACATTCATTAATTGTTTATATCGTACTTTATCGAATGCTTTACTATAGTCAATAAACATGCGTATATATTTACAAGTTTGTTCTAAACAGTTCCAAGGATGTTTAACCCATCCAGTGTCTATGATTTTTCAACCAACAGATTCATCGTCTTCTCGGACCTCTGCTTCGAGGTCCTTCTATTAGACTCTATACGGCTTCACGAAGCTTTATGATATTGTTTAGAGCACAGTATTGGTAGATACGTTGGGTTACATATGAGGGGTCTAGAAGCAAAAACAACAATCTCCACTTTGACAAATATTTCAGGAAATAAAACTTTTTAATAAAATTTAAGTTTTATTTTTTTTTGTTATTTATATTTATTTGTTCATTGGCTTAGTTATTCACAAAATTAACCTAATTTCATTAAATTTTAAGTAACATTTTAAGTTTGAAGATTTCTGATTTTGCTTTAAACACTTGGAGATTGGCGATTTTGCAACAGAAAAAACAATATATGAATGCAAAAAACACATATCTTCCTTGTAACTGAATTTTTGTTGAAAAAAATATTTATTGAACAAAAAGTCACGAACAAGGAAGTTCTAGGAAAAATGAAGAATGAACCAGAGATTGTGTTTACGATCAAACGCATAAAATTGCAATATCTGGGACACGTTATAAGAAATCAGCACCGTTACTCCCTGCTACAGGCTATATTGCAAGGTAACGTCAAAGGTAAGCGAGGACCCGGTAGAAGGAGAATATCATGGCTGCGGAATTTAAGAACATAATTTAAGGTTATGATTGCCAATATGATTTCCAACATCCGAAACGGATAGGAACCAGAAGAAGAAGAAGAACAAAACGTTTTAAACAACCAAATCTGAAATTTCATCACAAGCATCAGCTTCTCCTTCAATATGTTCAATATCTCCTTCATTTTCTTCAGAATCAATATTGTTTTTTAGCATATCATTATTCGTGTTTAAAGCGTTATGGTAAAACTTAAGATTTTCCAAGTATTTCCACTCTTCTCCAAAATGTTTTCTTAGGAGTTTATTAACATCCCGAAGTTTTAAGGGGTTAACTTTAATAGCTCCCAATTCAATAATATTAGGATTAATCATCCAGCCAAAATAGACAACGTACCAAAAATAGTTAAAACATTGCTTACAACAGTTTTGTTAATATTCCTTTTCCATTTTCGTTTTTGCTGAATTCTCCTACGAGCTCTTGTTGGTGTAATTGAAATAGCTTTAGTCTCCATTTTAAATTCAGTACCACAGAAGATAATACACCGAAAACTATTTAACTCTTAAGCAATAAATTGAATTAAATAATACGTACTAATTATTCTAACAAAATCTTAATAACACTCAAATGGAGATTACCGGTGGTCCGATGGAGATTGCTGTTTTTGCTACTAACCCTTTTTTTGACATTAAATATGAAGAAGATATTAAGGGTTTTGCTACACAATATTTTGTGAAGTTGTACAGATGAACACAAAGATATAGATGGCAGCAATAACTCAATTTGGGGAAAATATGAAGATTGCTGGTTTTGCCCCCTCATTATAATGTGACTAGTTTATACAAAGTTGGAAGACAAGTAATTGGGCGGACTCTGCTGGATCTTGTGTCTTGGGTCTAATACCAAAGAATCTTGATCCTTCGGTAATTAATAAATTATTTCCTGAGCTAGAAATGATGGTATTTTCACTCCAACATTTTTAAAGAGAAAATTTTATCTCTGTCTGATCCAGTAAATTTTCACTTTGATAATTTTTGAGACTAGTAGTGAAGGGTTCGCTAATGAACAAGCGCATTGACAGTAAAATCATAAATATAGTGCAAACATTATATTGGAACCAAAGTGCCGTAGTTCAAATTGATGGGCAACACTCAGAAGAAATGAGGATCTGTAGAGGAGTTAGACAGGGATGTGTGTTATCACCACTTTTGTTTAACTTATATTCTGAAAAAATTTTCCAAAACACGCTCAATAATATCGAAGCGGGAGTCACCGTTAACGGAAAATTAATTAATAATTTAAGATATGCAGACGACACTGTGATCATAGCAACGAGTATAGAGGATCTACAACATCTTATCGAAAGCTTGAGTATCAATAGTGCTGAGATGGGAATTACTATAAACGCTAAAAAAACGAAGTACATGCTGATTACAAAAAGGCCACAAAATATACATCACCTATTGACAATAAATGGTAACGTGATAGAACAAGTAGAAAAATATCAGTATTTGGGAACTTTGATCAATGAAACCAATGATCATACTGTAGAAATAAACAGACGAATAGAGATTGCCAGATCAGCATTTATACGAATGAAGCCACTCCTAACGTGCAAAAATCTAAATTTGGAGATCAGACTACGTACCATTCGCTGTTATATATTTTCAATATTATTATATGGAGCTGAGACTTGGACATTAAAAAAATGTAATTTAAAAAGAATCGAGGCCTTCGAACTCTGGTTATACCGCAGAGTATTGAAAATATCATGGACTGATAGAATTACAAATAAAGAAGTACTGGAGAGGGTTGGTAAAGAAACAGAACTAATCACCACTATACAAACCAGAAAACTGGAATACCTAGGCCACGTGATGAGGGGACCAAAATATGAAATTTTGAGACTGATAATACAGGGAAAGATTAAAGGAAGAAGATCTGTTGGCCGAAGGCAGAACTCATGGTTAAAGAATCTACGTGATTGGTACCAATGCAGATCGATTGATTTGTTTAGAGCAGCAAGTTCTAAAATAAAAATAGCCATTATGATTGCCAACCTCCGTAGGGAGACGGCACTCTAAGAAGAAGAAGAGTGAAGGGTTCGTAGAAAATAGTAGTGTAGTATTATACTAGTTATGTACTATTGACACTCTATTTCCTCTTGTTCCCTTTTCTCAACTCCTCCCTTTTAGATTTCTTGCATTTTCTTAATTAGTACGTATTGGGACTCCAGATTTGAGACTGGTATAAAAGAGTCCTTTGAATAATAATAATGAAATAAGTTTAATTATTTAGCCCTTGCCAGTTATGTACGAATTATTGACACTTTATGTTCTCTTCTTACCTTTTCTCAACTCCTCTCTTTTCAATTTCTTGCTTTTTCTTAATTGATACGTATTGGGACTCCAGATTTGAGACTGGTATAAAGGAGCGCTTTGAACAATTACAATAAAGTAAGTTTATGTATTTAACCCTTGACAGTTATGTACTAATTATTGACACTTTATTTCCTCTTCATACCTTTTCTCAAGTCCCCCCTTTTCGATTTCTTGCTTTTTTTAATTGCTACGTATTGGGACTCCAGATTTGAGACTGGTATAAAGGAGCCCTTTGAACAATAACAATAAAATAAGATTAATTATTTAGCCCTTATAAATAATTTGTATTTATTTTTAGTCAAATTTCAAGAGACGTTTAATGCAAATGAGGGAAGAGCTAGAAAAGAAAGACAGTTTGATTATCACTGCCGAAGAAAAGCTGTGTTCAGTGCAAAATGAATTAAGAAATTCTATTGAAGGACTTAGTGGTGAATCTCAAAAGTACAAAATTAAAAATGAACATTTAGAATCTATAATAAATTCTTTACAACGAGAAACAAATGAGCTTGAACGTCAAAATGAGGAAATAAAATCTTTTGCTGCCGAAGTACAAATCGAAAACCAAAAACTGTTAGAACATATTGTAACTCTAAAAGGAGATAACGAAAATTTTGTTACACACATCAAATACATAACTGAAGAGAATTTATTGCTTATTAAAAAATTGGAGGAGAAAGAAGATTCTTTAAATACTCTTAAAGAAGTTCTTAAAGATCACGAACCCATACTAGAGGAGTTTGAGAAGTCAAAGTTAGGTCAGCGACGAGATCATCTAGAAAGTGATTCAATATATATACTAACAAATGAACTGGAATATGTAAAAGAAGAAAATAGACAATTACATGAAAAATTAATCAAACTAAGAAATGTAATAAAAGATCAAGAATTTGATGAATTTTTAACACAGACAACCGATGCAGCTGAATCCGTAGAGTTAAACCATCCTCTTAAAATGTTTAATAAACAAGACCTTTTGAATAGAAAACTGGAAAACTATATAGTCAATTACTGTATTTCAACAGGAATAAACACCAACATTGAGTCTTGGCAATGTATTAAAGCTAAACGAAAGGCACAAGCAACACAGGCTACCAGTAGTATAGATGCTTCAAGTACTGCTGATTTAGAAGTCGAAAGTTCTTCTTTTATATTTCAGGAAAAAACCAATGACTATTGTAGAGCTTCTTGTTCCAAACCAAAAGTAGAAATGGGTACTATGACAAGAGATATTCATGCTACCAGTAGCACTCCAAGGTATCCATCACAATTAAAACATCAACCTATCCATACTCATCCGCCAACGCTAGAAAAAGATACTTCTATACGAGGTTCAGTCAGTGATGAATGTATGTGCTTAAAAAAACAACAGCCAATCCATACAATTTATGCCCCCAAACCTCACGCTAAAGATGTAAAGATTTTAAAATGTTATTGCAAACGTAAATACTTTGTATCAACTTCAATTCCCGCTACAGAAGTAACAGATGTAAGAGCTACTGTGCCAATTCATAGCGACGATAAACGTCAGAAAGTACAATATTTCCATGCTGTGACGCAAGATAGAATGGAAGTACCAATAACACCAACACCAGTAAAATGCACTGCAGAATGTGCAAAAGAGAGAACGAAAGTACCACCTACGTTGGTCAAATGCACTGCAGAATGTCAAACTAGAAAAGTCAGACCTAGAGTATCAATTGAAGCAGATATAGAAAAACTGCCGACATTAAAAACAGAAGAAGTTGAATATATACATGAAAAAATCGAAATTCTTGAACAAAAGGTAAAAAGTGATCAAGAATTATTGTTAGAAGGTATTGAAGTTTTACCTAAAGAAGAAATTGTTGACCAAAAGCTACTACAAAAACCGGAGAAAGACGAGGATGTAGAAGCTGTAGACGATGTGTCTGGTATAACAAGTGTAGATATGATGGAAGATGTATGGTATATACCACCCAAAGCAAAGATGAGTTCAACCAAAAAAATTACAGAAGAAGAACCCTCAAGAGAGGAAATATTGAGGGATGTAACCAAAAAAAAAATACCGCTAACAGAAAAGATTAAAAAGATTTTGCATATTAAAAAAGATGACGAAGAAAAAACCATCCCAGAGAAAGAGGGTATTATTGAAGAGAAAACTGTAACAGATATTACACCAGAAAAAATAATAACTAAAAAGTTTGTACCCATGAAAGAAATTACCGAAGAATTTGTGGATGCCCCGAAAGAGGAATTGGAAGAGTTCTATTCACCAAGGCTTTCAATTCCAAGTGAATGTAAAGAACTAGAAGAACGTATTCAAATTCTTGAATCCGAGTTAGCTACAGCAAATGACACAATCTACAAACTTCGAGAAAGTACGGGTGTAGTAGCCAGAGTATCTGCTGAGAATGAAGCCTTGCGAAGACATTCAATAGAAGTGCAAGATGTAGCAAAAGACCAAATTGAAGATCTTATTAATCACCTCAAAAAAGCTCAACTTCGAGTCGCAGCTTTGGAAGACGAAAACAAAAGATTAAATGAATTGAATTATAATAATGAGTTGGAACACAAAGAACTTAAACAATTGATCCAAGAACTTCAAAAGCAGAATGAAGAGCTGCAGAAGACAAACAAACAACTCGAGGAAAAAACATACGATGAAGACATTATAAATAATCTCAAGAAAGAGTTAGAAAAAGTTAAATTAGAAAAAGCTGATATGGAAAAAATCTTAACTAAAGATTTAATAACGAGTAGTGGGAAGACATCTTTGTTGGAGGACGAAATTAAAAATTTAAATGAAATATTAATAAATTTGCAAGATTTGAATAAAAGTCTTGAACAGAAATTAAGCACATGCGTTGAGCAAAACCAAATTTTATCCGATAATTTGAACAAAACGAAGTTAGAGCTTCAGCATCTTAAAGATACGCAAATAAGTGAAAAAGAATTAGCAGCTTTAAAAAAAGAAAATGAAAATCTGTTACAAAAATTAGATATTTCTAATCGTGAAGTAGATCATTTAATGGAAAAACTAAAAACGCCAATATTAGAGGACCTGATTTCCCAGCCGCAACTAGAAGACAAAGGGGCTATAAAAACCATTGTTGGTGATCTTGAGACCCAACTCAAAGGTTTGGAACCAGTTAAAGGTGCATTAGCAACAAGAACTGAAGATATGCAAAAGATTATCAATGAGTTAACCAAAAGGTTAGGTAAGTAAATACTTGCTTTTTAATTTGATATTTAATTTTTAGTCCTGTGAAGGTATTTCCCCTTCGTTGTTTACAGATATCATGAACCACAAAGGCTCCATCAAAGTGAAAGACACCAAAGTGAAAAGAGGGGCAGAGTGTGAAACAGATCACAAACTTGTGGTGGCATTGATGGAATTCCCCTATATCTGGACAAAACAAAAACATACATCGATTGTTACAACGGGAACGACAATAAACGAAAAGAGCCTCAAATTACATCTATTACAGGAAGAATCAATAAAAGATCTGTACAAAAGAAGACTAGACCAAAGACTAGAAGAATTCAGATATGACACGTTAGATGAAATGCATGAACACATTAAAACCTGCCTGATTTCAGCGGCCTTAGAAGCTCTTGGAGAAGACGACCAAAAGAACACCCATCAGAATATCAAATTAAGGGAAGACACATTGAAATGTATAAAAGGAAAGAAAAAACTACACATAAAATACCTAAACACCAAAAAACAGGAAGACTTAGACCTATATAGAGAGAAAAACAGAGAGGTAAAGAAAAGAGTAACAAATGAAAAGAACGAACGATGGGAACAAGCATGCACAGAGATAGAACGACATATCGGAGGAACGAGAAATTCAGGATCATGGCGAATATTAAAAGCACTCCAACGAAATAAGACAGAGAAAACCCAGATCGGCAAAATTAGTGAAAACGAGTGGCAAGAATACTACGTAGAACTACTTACAGAAAACCGTCCCCAATTTCAGGAAGAGAATACAGAACATACAGGAAATGGGACATACGACCAGATAGAAATAAGTCAAGAGAGCAATTAAGACATTGAAGAGCAAAAAAGCCAAAGGACCCGGAGGGATATAAAACGAACTAATTAAAAACGGAACGGAAAAGTTATTCCGCATGCTACACAGAATGTTCGAAAGAGGACTAAATGGAGAGGAAATACCTGCGGAATGGACACAAGCATACATCACATCCATACATAAGAAAGGAAACAGGAAAAAATGTGAAAACTACAGAGGAATTAGTATAATATCGTCGGTAGGTAGACTTTACGGAAAAATTATCAAGGAAAAACTAGAAACTGAAATAATAGGAAAAATTGGAGAAGACCAAGCAGGGTTCACAGTAGGAAAATCATGCCTAGATCATACGTACACATTAGAACAACTGATAGAGAAGAAATTTCAAAAGGTAGACCGGTCCATCTGGCGTTTGTTGATCTAAAGAAAGCATACGACTCAATACCTAGAGTCAAATTATGGGAAGCAATGAATGATCTCGGAATCCGACAAACACTAATAAAAGCAATTAAAGCACTGTACAAAGAAAACAAAGTACCTATTTAATGTGCAAAAAAAGCCTACAATCCATTTAAGACGACAAAAGGACTTCTACAAGGCTGTGCTACGTCCCCTACTCTGTTTAAAATATTCTTGGAAAAGACACTCAAACCATGGAGGAGAAAGTGCGAAGGAATGGGCATACCAGTAAGAGACGAATACCTATACACCTTAAGTTTTGCCGACGATCAAGTAGTCATCGCACAAGATGAAGAAGATCTCAGCTTTATGCTCAGAAAACTAGAAGAAGAATATAAAAACAACGGACTGGAAATAAACTTAGAGAAAACCGAATACCTAACAACAGAAAACAAGGATATAAGAAACCTAGAGATAGACGAGGGAAGACAAGTAAATTGAACAGATAAATTCAGTATTTAGATAAATTAAACAATTTACTGTTTGTATTTTGAGAACGATTTCCGAAGTGGAAATTGAAATGTCAATAAACGTATTTTTATCTTTAATTATGGCTTATTCCCAGTTAAATAGTAATTAATTTAAAATGCCACAAGAAAATAGCTTCAGAACAATACATAATATCGAACCAGGGAACAATAGAAGAAGATATAAACAACAGACTAATACAAACAAGAAACTGTATAAGACAACTAAATTCAGTGCTTTGGGATAAGAACATTACGATAAAGACAAAAAAGAGAATATATAATACCCTGACAAGAAGTATCCTGACATATGGGTCCGAAAACTGGACAATAAACAAGAGAAATAGAGGTAAAATAAGAGCAGTAGAAATGGAGTTCCTGAGGAGAAGCGGTAGACTTACAAAAAGAGACAGAATTGAAATCGCAGAGATTAAGCGGAGAATGGGAGTGCAATCAGACATAATCGAATATATAGAGGAGGAGACTATCCTGGTACGGCCACGTCAGAAGAGCGGACAGAGGACGCTGGATAAACAAAATTACAGAATGGAGCCCAATCGGAAGAAGAAAGAGAGGAAGACCCCGAAGGTCATTCAGAGACGAAATCGACGAGGCTATGGAGAAAAGAACCCTGCGAGATGGAGACTGGAATGACAGGGAAAATTGGAGAAAACGTTTGAGTGAAGGAAGACAGTGAAAACTGTGGAAATACTTAGTAGTAGTAGTGTTTACAGAATACATCTTCTTCTTCTTCTTTAGGTACCGTCTCCTCTAAGGAGTTTGGTAATCATCACAGCCATTTTCACTTTTGAGATTGCAGCTCTGAACAAGTCTACGGAACTGCAATTATACCACTTTCTTAGATTGTTGAGCCAGAAAATGCGTCTTCTTTCAATACTTCGTTTTCTCTGTATTTTTCCCTGCATTATGGTTTGCAGCAACACATATTTATCCCCTCTCATAACGTGGCCGAGATATTGTAACTTAGACTACTGACTAAGGTCCAGGCCTCCACCTCATACAGCAGCACCGAAAATACATATGAGCGTAATATTCTTATTTTGAGTTGCAAACAAAGGCCTTTACTGCATAATACCTTTCTCATATTATTAAATGTTGCTCTAGCTTGTCCAATTCTCATTTTTATTTCTTCTGTATAATCGTTATTTTCATTAATAATTGTACCAAGACATCTGTATTTTTTTTACTTTTTTTATTGGATCCCCTCTTACGTTTAAAATGTTTTGTTGTTGTGTTATGGAAATTGTCATAAATTTTGTTTTTTTAGCATTAAGCGTTAGTCCGCTTTCCTCACTAGCATTTACTACATTACTTATCTACAGACACTCTTACTACTAAGAAAAGAAGAAGAAAACACAGAAAACACGTATAGATATTTGGTACTATTGTTTTTATTATACTAATGTATATTATATAACGCATGGAAAGGCTGCGCTATCTTCTTAATAGCAACTATTTGGCCAGTTTTTTTTTACACGTTTTGATTTTTTTTCTTTTATATTTATATTTTTTGGTAAATTTTGCCGCCCCCAAGCGAGCGCTTGTACCCCCGCACGGCTCGGAACTGCACGAATGAAAGATGTACAATAAAGGTGGATTCAGACACATCAGTCACGTCTCGTCACAGTCATGGCGCCGAACCGAACAATCCGTCATACAAAATATTCTTTAATAAAAATATGGCGCCGGCATTCACATTCATCAGTTTGCCAGCTGTCAGATAGTTGATACTTCTGTGACCAAACAGGACCGGTTCGGCGCCGAGACTGTGACGGGACTGATGTGTCTGAATCAACCTTAAGTCATTTGGCTGCAGTCAAATAAAAATCGGCTTCCGAAAAAGGCTTAATATTTTATTCAATGTCGTTTAATATTAATTAAATTAAACGTAATAATATTATAATTGTTGTTTAGATGATGCTGAAAGACGGACTACAAAGGCTGAAGAGATGTTATCAACTTACAAGTTAAGTGACCCCACTGCAATGTTTAAAGATGAACTAAATAAATATAAGGCGAAAATTTTAGAGTTAGAAGCAGAAAATAAGGATCTTAGCAAACTTACTAACGAAATTGATAAACTAAGAAAAGAACTTCTATTGAGCGAAAATAAAAATAAAACTTGTAGTGAGGAAAACGAACAACTAAAGGAAAAACTTCAACATTTAGAAGGTGAATCAGTTAAACCTACTGCAGGTTTACTTGAAACTGCGGGGGATGATGTACTTAAAAATGAAATAAAAAAATTACAGGAAAGACTATTAAAGTTAACAAATGAGAATTCCGGATTGCAAGGCAAAGCTGCTGAACTTGATCGTGCATTAAATAAAATAGATCAATTACAAAAGGAAATTGGAGAGTTAAAACGTGATTCACTGAAAGAAGCAAATGACATGGGAAAATTGAAAAGAGAACTGGAAAACGCATTAAAAGCTAAAGCAGCTGATGCTAATAAATTAGATTTGTTAGAAAAAGAAAAGACGAAAAATCTTACAAGTTTACAAAGTTTAGAAAATGAATTAGCTAAATTAAAGAAAGAACTAGAAAGTTGTCTGAGCACTGCACAAGAATCTTCTTCTATTATATCTAAACAGCAGGAAGAAATTGCTGCACTAAAGAAAAAAATGAATCAACTAGAAGGTGATAAAAATAAGATCAAAAAAGACTTGGATAATGCCGTTGCAGCCTTAAAATATGCAAATGAAAAACAAGAGAAGAAAGCAAGTGAAACTGACAAAATTTTACAGCAATACGAACAATTACTAAAGGAAAATCAAAGAGTACTAAAAGAAAATGAAAAACTAATGAAAGATGAAGAATTGAGTAAAAAAGAAAGAAGTAAAATTATGGCTGAAGCTGATAGGGAGGTAGTCAGACAAAGAGAAAAACCTACAAAATTAGAACCTGAGATTGCGAAAAGAGATGAAGAACTTAAGGACTTGATAGATAAACTCAAAAAGCAGGTATCATCTTTACAGGATCAAAATTCCCAATTAAATAAGGAGATCGAAAGAAATCGAAATGAACTACTGAATTTATCAAAAACGGAGGAAAAACAAAAAATTTTAACTGATGAAGTTAATAAAGCAAATACTGAAAATGTAAGATTAAATGCAGAACTTAATAAGATATTAGATGACCTTCAAAAAACAACAGCTACCAATATACAGAACCAAGAGGAAATAAAAAAATTGAAACAAAAGTTAGCTTTACTAGAATCGGAAAACGATCGATTGAAAAAAGAAATTAATAGTGTCCTAGATGATTCGAAATCGTCCTCTGCTGAGATTAGTAAGTTAAAAGATAGTGAACTGACTGTGAAACAACGCCTAGCCCAATTAGAAGCTGAAAATCTAAAATTAAAAAATAACTTAGATGCTGCAAATGCTACCAACAAAGGTAACGTATCTAAAATTGAACATTTAAACTCAACAATTAGTAAATTGCAAGAAGAAAATAAAAATCTTAAGCATAGTTTAGATCTGGCCATGAAAGACTTAAGTTCTAGAGATGAAGCAGCAATTTTTAAACAAAAGGCAGCACAAACCGAGGACGCTTTAAATAAACTTAAAAAAGAACTGAATGATGCATTGGACGATCATAAGAAATGTCCAAAAGTAATATCCCAATTGGAGAAAGAAAACGCTAAACTGAAAAAGCAAATCACTGATCTTGAAAAGGAAAATGAAAAACTTAAGGGTCAGTATGAAGGAGCGATGGGAGATTTTAAAAAAACAACTTTGGAATTGGAAAAGTTAAAAGGTGAAGATGCAAAACTGAAGAAACAATTATCACAATTAGAAAATGATAAAAGTGAGCTAAACAAGGAAATCGTAGTTATGCGTACAGAATTAGGAAAGATCGATTCATTACTATCCAAATCAAAAGATGATGTTGTAGCTCTAAAACAAAAAAATGCTACATTAGAAGATGCAAATATATCATTTAAAAACAATCTAGATTTAGCATTAAAAGATAAAGACAAACTACAAAAATCCTACAACGATTTAAAGAATGAAAATACTAAATTAAAAGAAAAAATAGTGCAGTTAGAATCTGAAAATGCAAGACTTAAAAAAGATATAGAAAACTTAACTTCAGTCGCTTTGAAAAAGGATATTCATGTAAAAGATGACCTTATATCAAAAGACCGACTAGCTGAACTAGAAAAAGAAAATAAAAAATTGAAGGGTGAGCTTAATATCATTCTAGATGAAGCCAAACAAAGTGCTACAGCTAAAGATCATGAAATAAAACTCAAACAGCAATTAGCGAAACTAGAAGCAGAACACAATAAACTTAAAAATGAATTAGAAGCAGCTTTAGCACAAGCACAAACCGGTAGTGGACAAGTATCCCATTTGAAAAATGAAAACAATAAACTAGAACAAAAAATTCGTCAATTAGAGAGTGAAATATCTAATTTAAGAAAAGATCTTAATATTGCTTTGGAAGAAGCCAAGAAAGGAGCTACAAGTATGAGTGCGGCCCAGGATGCCGATGCAAAATTGAAGCAAAGACTAGCTAAATTAGAAAAAGATAACAATAAATTAAATAAAGATCTCCAATCGGCATTAAAGGAAGCTAAATCTGGTAGTGATGCTACAACAAATCTACGAGATGAGAATGCAAAACAAAAACAGTTGGTTCTTCAGTTACAAGCAGAAATAGCAAAGTTAAAGGAAAAAGCTGATGCAGCTGAAGATAAGGCGAGAAAATTAATTGCAACTGATGATGTAGCGGATTTAAAGAAAAAATTAAAACAACTTGAACAACAAAATTCTAGCTTGAAACAAAATTTAGATGGAGCTTATGGTGACGCTAAAAATACAGCTGATGAAAATTCAAGACTTATCGATGAAAATGCTGAACTAAAAAAACAAATTAAAAGCCTCCAAAATAAGTTAGATTCTGCAAAACAGGCTTTAGTAATATGTGAAGATGAGAAGAAACAACTTAATCTTAATATTGCCAAGATGAAAGAAAACGAAGTTAAAATAAAAAAACAACTACTAGAACTAGAAAAGGAAAACGTCGGTATGAAACAAACTCTTGACACCTCTCGAGGAGATAGCAAAGTTGCCAAAAAAGCAGAGGATGATAATGTTCGTCTTAAAGATGACTTTTTGCAAGCACAAAAAGAATTGGAGACAGTTCAGGGTAAGTTAAAAGATGCACTTAATGAAATAAAGAAAAAGACAAACGAAATACAAAAACTCAAAGATGATATAGTGGTTCTTAAACAAAAAATTGCTACCTTTGAAAAAGAGATCGCAACTGTTAAAAACGATTTGGATACTTGTCTTTCTGAAAATTTAGATTTAAAAAAAGATCAAGGTGACAATATGTCTTCGATGAGAAAACAATTCGAGAACGATATAAAGAATATATTGAAGAAAAACGAGGAGAGCGTAGATAAACTTCAAAAATCTTATCAAGAGAAAATTCAATCGCTAAATAAAAAGCACGACGCTGAAATGCAAGTGCTTAAAGAATCTCTTAGAAAAGCCTTAGAAGAACTGGATCAAGTAACAGCTGAACGTGATCAACTTAAAGTTTTGCTGGAAGATCAGCAACGAAAAAGTTTAAGTATAAAGGAAAAAGTTGAACAAGTCGAAGATATTATTACTAGAGAAAGAAGAAGAAGTCAAGACGAAAGATTAAGAGGTGATTTACTGGCTGAAAAACTTGATGAACAAGAAAAAGTAACAAAAGAATTAAAAGAAAAGGCGGAACGATTTAAACGAAAATCCGAAGAATTAGAGCGTATTAGTGCGGAAATCATTAAGAAAGCAACTATTTCCGAAAAGGAAAAGCAACGTTTAAGAAAAGATAGTTTAGAAGCAGTATCTGGACACAAGTTAGCTGATGATGATTTGGCAAAGGATCGTCAACTTCGTAAGGTAACAAAAGTAATTTTATAATAATACTTTTTCTATTATTTTCGTATTTAGAGATCTATTATTCAGAGTTTCTATTAATTTCCTTTTCAGGGGTGGATGTTTCTTACTCTGCTTCTCCACAAAAATGACTGGCGAAGAAGTGTAAGGGAAAGCGACCCCAGAAAAGAGAAAAGTAGAGAAAGAAGAAGTCCTTTTTTTTTCTTAAAAAAATTGATTCTATCTATCTACATAGTTCTACAGCCCTTGTTGTCCAATTTTGGACATAGGCCTCCTCTTCCTTCTTCCATGTCTCTCTATTGTCGGCAGTTTGTATGCAAATTTGATTAGATCACGGAAATTAAAATTTATTAACAGATTTGCTGTAACTACTACTTAACAATTGAGGGATTGAGAGGAAACGTGACATTTTGTAGAAAAGTCAGATATTTGCCTGAGTGACTAGAAGATGTTAATATTTATTGATATAAAAATGGTACAAGACACAAGTACAAAACACAATCTAGTACGGACATCTGTCTGTGAGAAGTAAAAGCTCTCACCAATATCTGGTAATACTTTTCTGTATAAGTGGTGCAAATGTACATTTTTTATCTAAATCTTATGTAGTTGTTTGTGACAGCCACGTTTTAAAAGTGTAAAAAATACAATTTATAAAACAACTTAAAAATAATGCAAGGTAAGTCTTCGATGCGTTTAATATGTCTATAATTGTTATCTTATGTTATTTATTTATATCTTCAAAAAGTACTAGTTGAAAGAAACTGATAACATAACCTTAAAATGTGTCTTTTTTTTAGAATCTGACAGTAATTCGGAATATGACGATCCTGTAGAGGACAAAAACTTTAGTTCAATAGAAGATAGTAGTAGCGATGGTAATTATGATCTAGAAAATATTGCAGATGTTGATTTAAACGTGTCATTAAAGAAAAAGGGCAAACACGTTAAGATATAGCTATTTAGATAAGAGACAAGTAAGAAAACGAAAAAGGAATGCAGGTGAAGAATACTTAGGCTATAAAAACAAGTTAGTAAAAGAAGAAGCTTGTAAAGTTATGTACATATTTGCAGATTTAAGTGTCAAAAATTCACAGATAAACAAAGACAGAAAATTTTTAACCAATTCTGGGGGGGTCTAGGAAAGTGGAGTCTGCAGGATGCATTCATTACGTCTTGTACAGAGATCGCTTTGTTAAAAACGACAACTTACACAAGCTGTTTCTAATAAATGAGAGCATTACTATCAAATTGAGAAATTTGACGATTTTTAAAATGTTTTCCTTAAAAACCTTGGATATCAGCAATGGAAGTTAATCGAGAATTTTAAATGGGATAGCCGACGTTGGATTTACCGCTGTTGATAAAAGAGGAAGAGCTCTATGTCCTAATATACTATCACAGGATATAATTGATAAGGTAAAACGACATAGTATTATGTTTCCAAAATATACCAGCCATTACACCAGACATTACAATCAACGTAGACAGTAGCTTTCTTTATTAGAAGAAAATAACATAGCTCTTGTCAAGATATGGTGCCACAGGAGAGTGTTAATCTAAGTTTTTATCATCCCTTATCCGATAATTGTAATAAGTGTGATAAGTTCAAAACATCAATAAAATTGTGCACAAGTGGGTCAGATAAAAATGAAAAATTGTGTGAGAAAGAACTTCGTCACCAAAAAGCCAAATCGAGAATACAAGCCAAAAAAGAGGCAAAAATAGTGGACGAAACTTCAAGGAATTAAGAAGTGGTATCAGCTTGTTTCGGTCTGCAACAAATTTTACCTACACCAGATCTTACAACCAACAAAGTGTTTTCTATGCGAGTATTACGGACATATAATTTTGGGACCCATAATTTGGACAAGAAATGAGCTTCGATGTAAAGAAACTCAGCTAGAAATAATGGACTGCAAATTCATTGAACCGGGTCATACCTTTATGGAATGCGATGAAGATTTCGGAACCGTTGAAAAGTACAAAAAGCAAGTGCCTTATACTTTTGTACCCAGTGAAGATATACCCAAAGAAGATGGAGCACTTCATTTCATTAGAAGACTTCAACGAGTACTTAGAGGAAAATTAATTTTACAATCAGCTCAAGCATACTGTGATGCAGGAAAAACAAGATCAGAAGGCAATGCAACCCGAAGAAAAGAAAAAAAAAGAACAATAAAGATGATGTAGAACTAGACGACAATGACAAAATACTTTTGAGTGACTATGATGATGAGGAAGATATCTAGCTCAGTTGCTAGCAAGTTTATATAATATCATTTCGTTGTTATTTTTTATGCATTTTTTGTTCGTGTATTTTTATACAATATAAATTGTGTTTTCATATCTAATGTAGCTTCTTAAATAAATATTAAAAACATTACGTGTATTTCTTTTAAAGATGTTATTTATTTACTGGTAGTAATATTTACTTTTACCCTTTTTACTCTAAACAACTAAAATGTTATGTATATGTACATTTTGTAAAAAAAACTTGTCGAGTAATTGTAGTGGTACTTATTCGCTTTTGACTTGAGTAGTTTACCGACAGTTCCATGTTATCTTCATGCACACTACTTGATATTTAGCAAGTATTTACCAAGTACTTGTTAAGTGCTGCGAAGTCAGCAGTCTGCTGTAATCGTATTTATGTTGTTAACAACATGGACCGACTAGAAGCATTTAGCTTACTTTTTTTGACTAAAGAACATGTAATAGTGATTTTTCCCACAAAAAAATTTTTTTGACAGTGAAATTCATCTATGAGCCGTAAAAACATTTTAAAGTACATTTCTTTTAAATCTCAGATTAAAGAATACAAGCATTTGCCACCTTGGGAGGTAGAAAATCAGCTTAAGAAGAAAAGCTGTATTTATTGTACATATTTTTTTACTTTTATCTAACAAACGATTTATTAATCTCATTAAACAAAAAACACATGTAAACCTGATTAATTTAAATAAATGTTTTATTTTATTATATAGGACAAGAAAGATAAAGCTACACTGAAAGCCGAAACATTCAAAATTGTATCTCTAGAAGGAATAATGCCCAACGTTATACCAATAACTACACCACTTTCAGATAAAGAACTTAAATTCTTTGGCAAGAAGATATGTACTTGCAAGCCCAATATACACGATATTATTAATAAAATCGCAGTGGATGGATTAGAAGTAAGTTTTCTACAAAAATAGTTAAAACGGTTACTATTGTTACCTTATTTCTTCGATTGAAAATTCGTAGTAAGTAGCCAAGAACTTTTTCAACTAACTTTAAGTCTGGTATCCTAATATATTTTACTTCACTCACCAGATTTAGATGTATATATTTAATGCTTTGAATAATTTAATCTAACTCTGCTTTGAATAATTTAATTTAAAACTTAAGTATTGTTTGAAATTCCTTTTATAGGGCTGTTAGCATAAGTTATCCTATCATCACTTCATTTCAATTAAATTAAGTTAAGGGTAGCAATTATTAGACATTTTGCTTGAACCTTGAATAAAATGATATTTTTATCTAATTATTTATAGAGTTTGTCAATAGAAGAGTTACAATTTTTGCATTTCAAATTATGCGATGCTACAGCAGAGCAACTTGCAAAAGTAGGACAATCAAGTGGAGTTCTGAGGCCAAATGAAAACAGCAAATTGGGTTTGTTAAGGAGAATTGCTGCCTTAGAAGGAGACCTTTTGAAGAAACAAAAGCATGCCCAACAAAAAGGTAAGTTTGTTAATATTTTTTATATGCGATATAGCTTGAAAAAGAAACATTTTTTAAAAACTATCAATATTATTAGAAAGGGATTATTTTGGAGATTGTGCTCTTTTTGACACACATATGAGGGGGAAGAAACTTTCATTACGAGGTTGCAAGTAAGTTGAATGGATGTAAAATATTTTTGTTTTCTTAAAGTTTGATTTGAAGCACGTAGGTAATTGAATTAAATAAGAATACTTCAACAACCTAATTTTAATAACTAAAATCAACTTTAATAAAATAAAGCCTTCCGCTGAAATTAAATTTTTTTCATTTTTTTAACAAACTCAATTGATTGGGATAAATTTGATTTCCACTTCTTATACGACAAAATTTCTGACTTATGCCACAAATTCATGTTATAGATTTCTTATAGATTATGTTTGTTACAGTTATCGCAATGCAATATGCAGTGAAACTGGAAAAAGAACGTCTTCTCGACCTGAAGAAGATTTTGGACGAGGAAAAAAAGAAAAACAGTGACTTGTTAAATCAAATAGAATCACAAACTAAGATTGTTGCCAATATTCGTGAAGAAAGGGATTCTATACAGCGGCAAAAATCTTATCACGAACAGAAACTAGAACAATATATGTAAGTCAATCAGTTATTTTTAATTCTTTTCACAAAGCACGATATCGGTAGGTATGAAAAATATAAAGCACTCAGTTGCATTTTGTAGTTGGCTGTATGTTTACATTACCTTAAGGTTAAAAGTCTGGAAACGCCTAATGATCTGTTTGGCAGCTTCCGTCTTCATTTAATTTTTAAAACGACAGAATTTCCTTCTTCTTCTTCTTCGTCTTTTTATGTAGACATGACTCTGTCCGCTTTTCAATATACCTCCAGTAAGTTGTTCTATCGTTTTTTGTGGTCTTCCTTCTGATCGTCTTCCTATTGGGGAACCGTGTCTCGCCGTCTTTACTACTCTATTAGTTGTCATTCGATTTATATGATCAATCTCTCTTTACTCTTCTATTTCTTACCCAGTCTTTTATGTTCTCCATCTTGCTTCTACGTTATATGTGCTTATAGTTCTGTCCCATAGTATTTTGCCATCAATTTTTTTAAGTGTTTTCATCTCTGCTGTTTCTAACATTATTTTTGTCCTCTCTGTGTCAGGTCGTATTTCTGCTGCGTATGTCATTATTGGTCTGATGACTGTTTTGTAAATTCTGCCTTTCATTTCTTTCCCGACATTTATTATTTCTCCATATTGCTTCATTTAGGCAACCTGCGGCTCTGTTTGCTCTATTTAATTGATTCATTTCTGTTTCGAGCTTTCCGTAGCTAGATAATGTAATGCCTAGATATTTAAACTCCATCACTTGTTTTATTATCTGACCTTCCAGCTCCAATTTACATTTACTCCCATTTCCCAATCTCTCTGATATTCTTTGTGTGTAAAATAAAACTGGATTTTGTAGGGTTCAAATTAGTTCGTATCTAATACACGCAAGACTGACCTACTTCTTGTATTTGTGCAGCTCTGCGTGAAGATGTATGTGGATCTTCAATGAAACTCTGCATTATATCTGAAGTTTTATTGTACTTTATAACAGTTTTTGGTGTACCTGTTTACTCGCCCAGGTCTCTGAAAGCGCTTTAGAACTGTTTGTACAGTCGCCTTATGAATAGGAGAATGGTTTGGGAAAGTATCGTTGAACAATTTGGCTACTTCACTGTATGATCTTTTCTATCGCCGTAGCCCTTCATCATCAGCTTTAATTATTAATTTAATTTATATTACTAAACAAAAGTTTTCAACAGCTAAACGTCAAGTTATTGTTAGTTTGATGAATTAATGTCAAAATCACAGCATTTTATATTTACTAAATTACTTCAAAACTATTTCGATATTTTGACGAAAAACACTGTAGATTGAACAGACGATGTTTTTTCAGTAGTCGTTTATTCTGGTAATCCTAATTGTTCCCATATGAAAAAATAAACCCAAATAGTTCTCATTTCCTGTGGATTGACATTCAACCATGACGTAGTTCTTAAAAAAATCATCTGCAGCTATAAGGTTCAAGTAATCAAAGGCTCCGTTAAATAAAAATCCACAAGTAAACCTGCTGTTTTCTTAAATGAAAAATTAAGAACTGGAACTTCAGTATCACTCCAATCTTTATTTTCGGCAATTTTTGGCAGATTTGAGGAAGATGGTAGTAAAGATATTCTTATAACATAAGAGAACACGTAGAGATTGTGAAAAAGAATCGTCATCGGACTGATCAACATCGCTTTCTGAGAAGTATTCTGGATCATCGTCGCTACTATTGTCGAAGGGATCCTCCTCATTATCTGGTTCCTATACTTACGTCAACAACTTTGCTTCTGTTGATTTACGACGCTTATTATTATTTTTGAGGAAAGACCCATGAGCGAAGTTTATACAGACGACCAGCTGACTGGCCCTTCAATGACCAAAGAGGAGATAGAAAAGGCAATATTAAATTCAAAAATTAATAAGGCACCTGGACCAGATGAAATCCCGTCAGAAATACTCAAATTACTAGATGAAAGGGAAATTTCAGCACCACACAAAATATTTAATTTAATTTATGAAACTGGCTGCTATCCTCAACAGTGCTTACGCTCTACCTTTATTCCCCTACCCAAGAAAGTCAATGCAAAAAGATGTGAGGATCACAGACTCATTAGCCTAATGAGTCACACTGTAAAGATATTCTTAAAAATACTACATCAAAGATTATACAAAAAATGTGAATGGGACATCAGTGATTCCCAGTTCGGGTTTAGGCAAGGTTTAGGAACACGAAAAGCAATAGTAGCAACACAGGTGCTGGTCCAAAATTGTTACGATCAGAGGAAGGATGTGTTCCTATGCTTTTTATATTACCAAAAAGCGTTTGATCGTGTCCAACACCACAAGTTAATGCAGATTCTCGAGAAAATTGATATAGACCAAAAAGACATAAGATTGAAAACTTGTACTGGCATCAAACGGCACAGTTAAAATAGACAATTCTATACCCAAACCCATACATATAAGAAGAGGCGTTCGACAGGAATGTGTGCTTTCCCCTCTTTTATTTAACATTTATTTAGCAGCCATATTTCAAGAGTCTTTGGAGGATGCAGAGATGGGAATCAAGGTGAATGGAGTATTGATCAAAAACATACGATATGCTGATGATGGTGTCTTAATTTGTGACAACATAGTCACTATGTTGTCACTATGTTGTCATCTTCAACAACTTGTCACTATAATCGGAGAATACAGTAAGCGAATGGGATTAGAGATTAATACCAAAAAGACCAAATTTATGATCATCTCCAGAAACTTAGATGCACTTGAAAATTTCACCATAACACTGAATACTAAGTCCATTGAAAGAGTGAGTAAATTTAAATACCTGGAATCGTGGCTTTTTAAAGACTGGGCATCGGACAGGGAAGTAAAATGTCGCATTGAGCAAGCTCGACAAGCTTTCGTAAAATTCAAGAAGGTACTGACTTGTTCAGAGTTCGATCTTCAACTAAGACTAAGGTTTACTAAGTGCTACGTATGGTCAGTGCTGCTATATGGCGTAGAGGGCTGGACACTCAAAACGAGGGATATAAACAGATTAGAAGCTTTCGAAATGTGGCTTTATCGCCGTATCCTAAAAATGCCATGGACAGCGAAAATCACAAATATAGATGTCCTTAAAAGAATAAACCAAGAACGCCAACTTTTCGAAACCACCAAGACCAACTTTTCGAAACCACCAAGACCAACTTTTCGAAACCACTAAAATTGAAGGCAAGAAAGGAATGGGACGCAAGAAAATGTCCTGGCTCCGAAACAAGGCAATGGACAGGGATTAACGACATACAATCTCTGATACATATTGCAAGAAATAGAGAATTAATGGAAAATGTGATCGCTAACATCCATTAGTGGATTTGCATCTGAAGAAGAAGATTATTGTTTTAAATCATAAAACCTTTTTTAAAGGTCAAGCTTTGTCTTCTATGATATCTATAAGAGAAAATAATAGAAATAATTCAGGCGCACGGTATGGTGCCCAACGCCTGGGAGGTGGTCAACATGTTATTTTTGACTGTTTTTTACGAGTTTATTGGTTATGCAAGAATTTTATTACTAAATGCATATTATATATAAACTAGATAGAAATAATAAAATAATTTTGCTGTTTAGACATATAAAGACATAAAAACTTTTCTTTTAGGGAGAGCGCCCACCAAACTGGCACGGCAAGTGGCAAGTAGCAAGTAGCACGCGTCTAGCATGTTACTCAAAATGTAACCAATGCAAACGAATGATTAGAATGAATGACGTCACTGTCATTTTGGTGTGCGCTGAATCATTCGTTTTCATTGGTTACATTTTAAGTAACATGCTAGACGCTTGCTACTTGCTACTTGTCACTTGTCATGCACTTGTCACTTGTCAAGTTTGTGAAATTATCAAATATTAAAGACCAAACCCGACACGTAATAGAATTAACTCTAAATTAACATCCGTCCATAACTGCAAACCAATTCAAACTGTCCACAAAAATTGACGTTTAGTTCGATGAGATACATACACGAACGTCTTTGGGGCGGTGTCGAAGTGGAATATGTTGGGAAATATTAATCGAAATTATAACTTTATTTATTTTAGCGTAACTATAGAAGAAGAGCGAGCAAAAACTAGACACTTGGAAGACGAATTAGAAAAAGAAAAAACGACCGTACTGCATTTTAAATCACTTTTAGAATCAGAAAGAGACCGAGCCAGACTCAATAAAAGAAAAGACAGTGAGGCATTGGAGGTAATTCGTAGCTTCTTTGTTATATTTTACACAACTCAAAAATATTTATATTTATTTATTTTCTTATCATGCGATCCGACAGGATTATTTTCAGGGGTGCATCTGCTTCTCAGGGGGTTGCATTTGCATCTACACATACTATACTATATAAAATATACAACTATACATGTATAGCTATGGACTTTCTTTCCGTACAAGTCCCTGCACCCCGCTGCCGGTACCTATGTCCCTTATATTTATCGATATTAGACATTTATCGATTTTTGATCATTTATGATTTCTAACATTGAAATATTGTTAGATCTTCCGCCATTCCGAGATTGCACAAACTGTTAGCATGTTTTAAATAACATTTTTTAAGATGTATTAAAAATGTAATATATGATGACAAGTATGAATTTGATGGTAATACGATCTTCACAGATTTCGCAGTCGCAGTACATATTTCTTTGTTTATAACAATGTTTAGATAACATGAAGCATTTTTCAATTATGTGTGTGTAGGGTAAACTGTGCAAATACCGGTCAGTGGGTAATGGCGGTCATCCCGATTGTGCGAAATCTATTCAATCTGGCAACCTCCTATAACTGCCAACGTGTCGCTACACTACTCTGTATTCAGATTGCTGACGAGCGTTGAGTTGGCGCAAACCATTGTCATAGAAATATTATTAACCTGTTTTCAGTGTTTTCGATCTTATTTTTATGCTGAGTAATATAAGGTCTTAATTCATTTTTATTCACTTGTAGATCTTAAAATTGGTTACAATTGATTATAATGACGTTAGCTGCCTATTCCTTTTTTAAATATCAATATTTTAATACATGTTTACGAGTAAAAAATTCTAAGAAAAAAAATGCCAACAGGAGGCAATGCCGGTCAGTTGAGCGGTATTACCCCCATGCTATAATTTATACCCTATACTATAAATCCTTAGGGATTAATCCATCCAATTTTCGACATTGCAAGAAAGAATAAAAAATAAAAATCTTCAAGGTGTCTCATTAGGTAGAAAATCAGTATTTTCTGTCGAACAAGAAGCTAAAAAGAATATTTAGCTTAATTTTTATGGCGTAACAGCAATAGAACTGAGAAAATTAGCATTTGGGTTTACAAGATAATTTTTCTTGTAATAAAACACCTTTTCCTTGTAACTGGCATTACAAGAAAAAGGTGTTTGATTCTAGTTCTTTGGAATCGGATATTGATATATCATGTGATAACAGTGACGATGCATACGAAGATAGATGCCTGGTTTACAGCGAGTTTTGGCAAAAACAATGAATTGTGGTATATATTTACCGTTTGCTCACGATGGGCTTATTCAGAGTGCAGTGGATGGGATTCTGCAGAGAGTTATACCTGCGATGACTGTCAACTATTTTTACATTAACACACATATTTTTGTTATTTTTTGTTTGTTTTGTAATAAAAAATATTTTTTCACCTTTCTTACTGATTTACTTGAATTATGACCCATTAAGCCACATTCGTTAATCGTTTTATAACAAAAAAATATTAAATAGATATTGATTTTTATTTTAATAATAACACAAACAAATTGACTGGCATTACCCACACTCATGACCGGTATTGTCCATGTATGGTGACAATACCGGTCAAAGATACTTTTTTATGTTTTGTCTCTGTCAAAGATAAAAATTTTATATTTTTGAAATTAAATGTATCTTGCAATAAGTTAAAACCCCAAATTACGGATTGACGGCTTAAATTTGATTCACAGAGTTTTACTTTTTTTTATATTAAATTTTCTTCTTAGGTGACCGCGATTTGCACACTTTACCCTATTATTAATGAAGCTTTTAAATTTCATATGTACATAAATTATAAAAAACAATTTATATAATATATAACCAATATAACTAAAAATATTGCTTATATTTGTAGAGAATGCGGACAAAATTAGAAAAAACCACTAACAGTGAAATGGTCTTAAAAATGAAACTTCAAGACAGTTCGAAAACAAGAAGTCATTCTCCTTCCATGCCAGTAAAAGATGTATCATCTCATCCTATGTCAACAAAATCTAGAACTTATTTTTACAGTTCAGCGTCCGTAAGTAATTTTAAAATTAATTTCTATCTTCCACACATATTTATTATAAAACATAATGTTTATTATAAATATTCACTCAAAGTATTCGCTAAGGGTTAATAGATTTGTGAGAATGTTTTTGGTAATTTCTAAGAATAATTTGTGTATTTTCAAGAGTCCAATTGTCAGCATTTCCAAACTTACACGATTCCTTTGCAGGCATGTTAGCCATCTAAACGCTAAAACGTAAAGGGTCAAACACATAGAACTTTAATAAAATGCTATTATTTCATTATTTCATATTTGTTTACGTCCCTTATACTTCATGATTACGTAAAATATTAAAGCATTAGCATTGAGTGTGAATTACTAATTCAAGGAGGATGATCAACAAATTCTGTAGCTGCAGAATAATATAAAGAAATATTTCAGAAACTGTTAAAAGATGAAGAAGGTTATTCTATTAAATCTTGTTATTTTCTACTTAAAACTGTCCTGAGCTGTAAGTCAAAGTCAAGTCTTTTTTGAAGTCAAAGAATACAAAAATTAATAAAATAGGTAAAGAAAAGTATTTGTTTTTCATAGATAATGTTTAATGTTTAATTTAAGACACCAGAGTGAAAAGAGGGGCAGAGTGTGGAACAGATCACAAACTTGTGGTGGCATGGATGTAATTCCCCTATATCTGGACAAAACAAAAACATACATCGATTGTTACAACGGGAACGACAATAAACGAAAAGAGGCTCAAATTACATCTATTACAGAAAGAATCAATAAAAGATCTATACAAAAGAAGACTAGACCAAAAACTAGAAGAATTCAGATGAACGTTAGATGAAATGCATGAACACATAAAACCTGCCTGATTTCAGCGGCCTTAGAAGCTCTTGGAGAAGACGACCAAAGGAACACCCATCAGAATATCAAATTAAGGGAAGACACATTGAAATGTATAGAAGAAAAGAAAAAACTACACATAAAATACCTAAACACCAAAAAACAGGAAGACTTAGACCTATATAGAGCGAAAAACAGAGAGGTAAAGAAAAGAGTAACAAATGAAAAGAACGAACGATGGGAACAAGCATGCACAGAGATAGAACGACATATCGGAGGAACGAGAAATTCAGAATCATGGAGAATATTAAAAGCACTCCAACGAAATAAGACAGAGAAAACCCAGATCGGCAAAATTAGTGAAAACGAGTGGCAAGAATACTACGTAGAACTACTTACAGAAAACCGTCCCCAATTTCAGGAAGAGAATACAGAACATGCAGGAAATGGAACATACGACCAGATAGAAATAAGTCTGACAGTAGTCAAGAGAGCAATCAAGACATTGAAGAACAAAAAAGCCAAAGGACCCGGAGAGATACCAAACGAACTAATTAAAAACGGAACGGAAAAGTTATTCCGCATGCTACACAGAATGTTCGAAAGAGGACTAAATGGAGAGGAGATACCTGCGGAATGGACACAAGCATACATCACATCCATACATAAGAAAGGCAACAGGAAAAAATGTGAAAACTACAGAGGAATTATATAGTCGGTAGGTAGACTTTACGGGAAAATTATCAAGGAAAAACTAGAAACTGAATTAATAGGAAAAATTGGAGAAGACCAAGCAGGGTTCACAGTAGGAAAATCATGCCTAAATCATACGTACACATTAGAACAACTGATAGAGAAGAAATTGGCAAAAGGTAGACCGGTCCATCTGGCGTTTGTTGATCTAAAGAAAGCATACGACTCAAGACCTAGAGTCAAATTATGGGAAGCAATGAATTATCTCGAAATCCGACAAACACTAATAAAAGCAGTTAACGCACTCTTCAAAGAAAACAAAGTAGCTATTAAATGTGGAAATAAAGCCTACAATCCATTTAAGACGACAAAAGGACTTCTACAAGGCTGTGCTACGTCCCCTACTCTGTTTAAAATATTCTTGGAAAAGACACTCAAACTATGGAGGAGAAAGTGCGAATGAAATGGGCATACCAGTAAGAGACGAATACCTATACACCTTAAGTTTTGCCGACGATCATGTAGTCATCGCACAAGATGAAGAAGATCTCAGCTTTATGCTCAGAAAACTAGAAGAAGAATATAAAAACAACGGAATGGAAATAAACTTAGAGAAAACCGAATACCTAACAACAGAAAACAAGGATATGAGAAACCTAGAGATAGACAAGAGAAGACAAGTAAATGGAACAGATAAATTCAAGTATTTAGGAACCATAATATCGAACCAGGGAACAACAGAAGAAGATATAAACAACAGACTAAGACAAACAAGAAACTGTATAAGACAACTAAATTCAGTGCTGTGGGATAAGAACATTACGATAAAGACAAAAAAGAGAATATATAATATCCTGACAAGAGGTATCCTGACATATGGGTCCGAAAACTGGGCAATAAACAAGAGAAATAGAGGTAGAATAAGAGCAGTAGAAATGGAGTTTCTGAGGAGAAGCTGTAGACTTAAAAAAAGAGACAGAATTGAAAACGCAGAGATTAAGCGGAGAATGTGGGTGCAATCAGACATAATCGACTATATAGAGGAGAAGAGACTATCCTGGTACGGCCACGTCAGAAGAGCGGACAGAGGACGCTGGATAAACAAAATTACAGAATGGAGCCCGATCGGAAGAAGAAAGAGAGGAAGACCCCGAAGGTCATTCAGAGACGAAATCGGCGAGGCTATGGAGAAAAGAACCCCGCGAGATGGAGACTGGAATGACAGGGAAAATTGGAGAAAACGGTTGAGGGAAGGAAGACAGTGAAAACTGTGGAAATCCTTTGTAGTAGTAGTAATGCTGGTTCAGCAAATAGATCAGAGCATAATTGATAAACTCGAAAGGATTTACAAAAAACATATACTTCACGGATTTTAATAACGAAGATTGTCAAGAAACTCAATTACTAGAATTTCTGTTCTGTGTTAACGTACTTATGGAGCAGCTAAAGGAAGCAACCTACAAAAGGCTTGGATAAAACTGACGGTAAAATAGCGAGACAATAAAGATATTGAAAATTTACATCTTGAAGGAATTCCTGAATTTTCTGACTGAATGTGAAGAATGCAAAAGATTATCAGTCAATGGATAACGATCCTTCTTCTTCCCATGCTACCTTTACATTACGGATGCTGGACTGTAACTGCTAGCTCTTTCGGGACGACAGACTCAGTAAAACACAGGTTGAAATAAAAATAAATGTATTAATTTAACGTATATACAATAAATAAAAATAAAACGAATCCTACGTCCCTGTCTGGATCCCGCGATAAGGGAATTCCCCGGCTAACATCTATAAAAGAAAGAAAAAGGTTTTATTAATAACAAACAAATAAAATAGGTGAAGTCAATCGCACGCAGACTTATACTCGCTTCCGCTTCAATTCAGCGGGAGCTCCGAATGCACTCGCAAACTAAATATTCGGCTGTGCAGGCCCCACGGTAAAGTTGAATACACAATACCGATGGGTTCTGCTTGGTTAAGGACAGAGTATGATCCTCAATACGGAAATATCTCTGTCCGGGTTGGCTCGCAGGTTCAGTACACCAGCGAGTCGAATCGCACGCCTTAAATAGCCGCTGCGAATCCCACTTCGCGGTCTCGTTGAAGAAGTGGATGCGCCAACATTGACACTCCCACGGTTCAAACTGTTAAACGATCAGAACATCGTTACAGAACAGGGCTAACATGGCTATTTTGACTTTGTTGACTGCTGCCCTAAAAGATAGTTATTCCTGGACACTTTTCCATCTATTTTATCTTAAAGTATGGTCAGGAGCAGCTCATATCGTTGTTCATTACGTATTATATGCGCCAGGTATTCCTGGCTTCGACGTTTACTGGACGAAACTTCCCGACAAGTGGGTTATGGTCTGACTTATTATCTGCATCAGGCTAGGTTATTGAATTTTTGAATCTTTTGTTTATTAAAACATGGTTAATCTAATTCCTTATGGGATTTTCTGGTATGTTATCGAAAACCTGGTGTTTTGGTCGATAAAAACATCACTTTTACAGGCAATAATATATGTATACTCAATATAGTAGTCATTAAATTACATAACTTTTTAATTGCCCAAATTTTACATTATCTGAACTATAGCAGTTCAGGAAAACACTCATGAACAACATGAAAATACTTTTTACAAGATCAGACCTTAGTCTAGAGCTCAGAATCCGAATGATCAGATGTTACGTTTTCTCTGTTTTGCTGTATGACTGTAAATAGATGCCTTTGAGATGTATACCTATATACGGACGGATGTTATGAATTCCATGTGTACAAGAAGTTACCAACGGTGAGGTACTTCGGCACGTTAATAAACAAAAGAATTGCTAAGCATATTCAAAGAGAGGAAAATACGATACTTGGGTTATGTGTTAAAGAATGTAAGATATGAATTACTACAAAGCATATTAGAAGGTAAAGTACCGGGTAAAAGTTTAGTTGGAAGATGCCAGAACTCGTGGCTGAAAGACCTGAGGAGATGGTTTGACTGCTCGTCCGCAGATATTTTTCGTACAGCAGTTTCCAAAGCTACAATTGCCATTTGGATAGCCAAAGCTCGAAAGAAAACGGCCAATAAAAAGATGAAGACGTTCTACTGTGCTTTTTTGTTATCATCATTATCTTTGTTATCATGATTTAGTTTCTGGCTACGTGTGGCCATTTTCTGATTTTTAGTGCTTTTTTTAACATAATATACAGAGTTACGCAATTGAACTGTTACCTATTCAAACGACCATAATTTTTTTGTGGGAAAATATTTTTTATTGATTCAATTGACAAAAATGTGTGAAAATAATCAAAATTTTAGAATCCACTCACTTTAGCTCGATGTGGCCATCTTTTGCCTTGACTATGGCCTTCAAACGATCAAAAAATAAGTTGCATGCTGCACGAATGTGATCTTCCGGTACTTTGACCCATTCACGTATAATTGATTTCTTCAACGCATCCATACTAGCAAATTTTTTAGTCCGCACCCAAAATGAAGCAGATGAAATAGTCCATCGGATTTGCATCTAGCGAATTCGAAAGTCATTGTGTGGATGAAATGAAGTGTGGAACATGGTTTTTTAACCATTCTTGGTTCACACTAGCTTTATGAGACGGTGCCGAGACTTGTTGGAACGTTCCTGGTCTACAACCGAAATGTTTGCGTGTCCGCGGCTCTAAAGCAGCTTTTAAAACATTTTCTCGATAATAAGTTGCATTGACTTTGACACCATATTCAATAAAAACGATTGGAGAGCGTCCATCGGCGGTTACAACTGCCCATACCATTACTTGAGATGGGAAATTACTTCTTGTGGCCGTTCAAGAGCCAGGTGCTAAGCTCAGGTGCGTTCGGTCAAGTAAACACGATCATTTTGAGAGTTTATGAACTGCTCAATATGGAAATTTTTCTCATTAGAGAACACTATGTTCGGAAATTCGCCACGTTCGTGCAGGCGTAACAACTCCTTTACTCTTTCAAGCCGAACTTTTTTTGCTTTGGTGTAATATTGTGTACTTTTTGGAACTTGTAAGGCTTGACCTTGACCCCCCTCAATATTCGTTGCATGCTTCGCTGAGATATTTTCAGTTCTTTGGCCATTTGATTACCACTTCCACGTGGATTTTGCTCAAATCGAGCCTTCAGCTTCTAAACCATTTCAAGTGATGTTGCTGTTTTTTTTTCGTCCACCACCATAGCGTTTGGCAATGATACCAGTATCATTATAACGAGTTATGGTGCGATACACAAACATTTTATTCACTTTGAGGTGTTTGAGCTGACGAACAATAGCTGGTTGTGATTTTCCAGCCAAATATAACGCAATCAAACTATTACGTTTAAATTCCATTGCGAATAACTTTTGTTGTATGTATAAAACTTAAATGCAAATGCTTTTGAAGGCTTATAAACAATATACTGAAGTGTTATCAGGCCAACTTTGACATAGCTGTCATTATCGATTTGCCAGATATATATGGATGTGAAGTTGGTAACAGTTTAATTCCGTAACCACAGAATAATAAACAAACAGAATACCCACAAATTAAGTACGCGCATCTCCTCCGCGCAGACGTTCCGCCATGTTTTAGGAGGATTTTAAAGAAATTAGTGTTGTTTATGTGGTGTGCATGGAAAAATTAACCAGGTTTATTTGACTTACGGCAATCATAGACATACTATACAATTATATTAACATTGATAAATATAATAACATAAATATAATATAAATAAACATAAATATAAACAATTACATAATCACACAAATCATATGTCTGTGTCCTCCTAAAACATGGCGCGCGTGCTGAAAAATTTCAAAGGCGGCATCTGAGAGTGGCCCTTCTGATTGTTTATTATTCTGTGCCGTAATGGCCGTAACCCTGTAATATGGATATTTTCTAATTATCATGTTGAAATATAAACGCAGCTAATATAAAAGTCTAAACGCCAGAAATGGGATTTATTTTTCATTTTCTTGTTTGCTTTAAAAAAATATTAAAAAGCATATTATGATGTCTATGTTTTTATATTGGTACTATTATTATGATCTTTATAGTTTTTTTTTGTTATACTTTTAGGACAACAGACACCTAAGAGCTGACAGCGTAAGAAGATTGTCATACAACAATTTATCAACAAGCCGACTTGAAAAGTAAAAACTGCTCCGTATTTTAAAAAATGTGCAGTGCTGTGTATGTACTAGTATTAAAAATACTGAATATATTGTCAAAATTATTTTTGTCTGTCTATGTAACACGTAAATGGAAATATATTATCTATCTGTATAAAATGTTAGGACGAAAAGTCACACTGTTTGTCTGGTAGGGTAATTACGCCACCTAGGAAAGAAATATGAACATCTGACATTTCAATCATATTTTCTTCTTAAAACGATTCGGCTAATTTGTTCATTCTACAAATTTTTTCTTCTTTTTATATAGACATGACTCTGTCTGTTTTTTAATGTGCCTCCAGTAAGTTGTCATTCCATCGTCATCGCGGTCTTCCTACTGATCGTCTTCCTATTGGGAAACCGTCTCTTGCCGTCTTTACTACTATATTTGTTGTCATTCGGATTATATGATCGTTCCATTCTACTCTTCTATTTCTTACCCAGTTTTTGATGATTATTCTTATCATAGGTGATGATTCTTTGTTAGAATCTATGGAAATCAACAAATTAAAAAACACAGATATAATTCTGAATGACCAACTTGAGACAAACAGTTCTCCCCTCCTCAACCTATTTCATTAGAGACTATAAATTTGTAAACCCAAGCCAAAAATAGATCACTTGAGAAAGGCAATTAGCCGAAACAGCTGTAGTGATAAGATTTAAAATAAATTTTGTGGAAGTTTGAAAACAAAATTTTCAGTGTTTTATTGTTAGTTCCTTCTAAATTATTCACATACATTAATGAAATAATTTATAACTGTTTCATGATATGTAATTTCAAAAATAGATTAAGTAACACATGAAAATTATTTTCATCTATAGATCTAGCTAAGGTGAAGTGGGGTAAATGTGATCTACTTTTTGATTAGTTCAACTTTCATTTAATATAACACTTTAAGGAAACGTTTCAAAAAGTTATCAAAAAAATCATATACTCTTTAAACGGTTTTGTATTCATTATGTAGAAAAAAATTAAATAATCTTTAGTGTTGGTAATGTTGCATAATGTTTTTTAAAATCATATCAATATATCACATTTACCCCAGGGACCGGGGCAAATGTGAAGAAAGTTTACATTTTTGTAGTAAATATTATATTTGATAGTCTGGGGTTATTGTATAAAAATGTGATTAAAGCTCTCGACTTGTGTTTTTTTAGAATTTATTTTGTTGAAAAAATACAAAAGAATTTAAACTTTTCGAAAACAATGTCAGAACAAAGGAAACAAAAATATAATAAAATTAAATAAACACTCCAAGTTTTCTTTCAGTTAATATTGAATGTTAAAGCCTTTAAAGGTAACTGGAAATTCATACATTCCACGTCTGTCGACGATAGGATCTGGTGGTACTTTTATAATTGTTGAGAATGTAATACATTTATATTGTATACACAGATATATTGGTGTAAGAGTAAGCGGAACGCACCCATAGTGTCATGGGTTGACATGACAGACAATAATAGTAATGTTAATGAGTATCATGTAGTTGTAGGTGGTAGTAAGAAGTATGGTGGCTTAAGTTAGGTTAGTTAATTAGTATGTATGTTATAGGAAATAAAGCCTTTTATAATAGTAGTAAAGTACGACTATTTATTTTCCAAATCCACACCTTAACATGGTAGCAGAGGTCCGTGGTTGGAAAGTCGTACCTTTTACAACAGAAAAAGTTTGGTGCAGTTTGGAAAAAAAAAGTGTGACACATGATGGCAGGTAGTAGTGATTTTAGAATACCTATATTCGATGGGGAGAATTATAAAATGTGGAAAAAACGTCTTATGCTATTTTTGAAAATGAAGAAGTGTGATGTTGTGGTAACCAGACCGAAAAATGAAAATGATGATACAAATTGGGATGACGATGATGTAAAAGCAATGAATTATATATGCGGTGCAATATCGGATCGACAGATGGAGTACATCGACGAAAAAACTACGGCGTATGAGATGATAAAGAAATTTGATAATTTATATTTGAAAGAATCAACGGCATTGCAGATAGTATGTAGAAATAACTTGGAAAGATTAAAATTGAACAACTATGGAGACTGTGCAACATTTTTTAGTGACTTCGAAAAAGCTATAAACGAGTTAAAAAGCGCGGGTGCTAGTGTGTCTGAAAAGGAAAAATTGAACTATATGTTAAACACGTTGCCAGAGTCGTACAGTTATATTGGTGATTTAATAGATACATTAAAAGAAGATGATCAAACTGCAGACTACGTAAAAACTAAGGTTATGATGTCCGAATTAAAAAATCAAAACAATGATTTTGGAAGAAAATCCAGTACATTTGTGGTAAATAAAGGTCGACAGGATCGATCATGCTTCCAGTGTGGCGAAGTTGGTCATTTCAAGCGAGATTGCAAAAATGGCGCCAATCAAGCGTCGGGTAATGGCGGACAAACGACAAGCAGTAGAGGCTGGTGGAGAGAAACGCGAGGTCGACAAGAAGCCGGAAGAGGAAGCTACGTCAGAGGACGTGGCCACTCACGTGGACAGCGCGGAACGCATGGAACAAGTGCACAGCGGTTCAACCGACAAGGACAGAAGAACGAAGAGCGAAACAGTGCTTCTTGGCTTACAACAGTAGCTCTTGGTAAGGATATGTCAGTTATTGCACAAAATACTGAAATAGGTAATGTAAATAATTGTATTGAAATAAAATGGCTTTTAGATAGTGGTTGTACAGACCACATTATTAATGATGAAAAATTATTTGATAAATGTAAATTACTTAAAGATCCCATTAATGTTTATTTAGGAGATAATAGGGTTGTAAAAGCTACTAAAATTGGAAATGTTTTAAGTTACTTTGATGCTTTTGGTAAAAAGAGTTTAGTAGATATGCAAAATGTTTTCTATGTTAAAGATATGAAATCAAATTTGATAAGTTATAGCAAAATAACAGAAAATAATAAGATTATTTCTCTAGGTAATATTTCAAAAGTTTTTGATAAACTTGGTAATATAACAGCAGTTGCTTTAAAAAATAATGGCTTATATATTATGAAAAGTAAATTAAAATCAGTTGAATTGCATGTAAATGTTGCAAATAAAGATATGAATAATATGAATCAAAAGGAAAAATGGCATCGTTTATTAGGTCATGTAAATTTTAAATATTTGAATATTTTATCTAAGGATCAGCTGTTGAATGGAATTCCTAATGAGTTTGAATCTGAATTTATGAAATGTAAGATTTGTATTGAAAGTAAAATGCATAATATTCCGTTTGCAAACAGTAGAAAAAAAGCTAAAGATATTTTAGAGATTGTACATACTGATGTTTGTGGGCCTTTTCGAACTACTGGGTTTAAAGGTGAAAATTATTTTGTTTCTTTCATTGATGATTATAGTAAGATTTCTAAAGTATATGCTATAAAATCAAAAGCAGAAGTATGTGATTGTTTGAATGAATATACGAATGAAAGTGAAAATTTGACTGGAAAGAAAATAAAGATTTTAAGATGTGATAATGGGAAAGAATATTTGAACAGTAAAGTCTACAGATTTGCAAAAGAAAGGGGTATAGTAATTGATAATTGTCCTACATATGTACATGAATTGAATGGGACTGCAGAACGGTTTAATCAAACTATAATGGATATGTCAAGATGTTTGTTGGCTGAAGCAGATATTCATAAAAAATATTGGCCTGAAATAGTTTGTGCTGCGGTTTATTTGAAAAATCGTACTTTATCTGATACAATTGAAAAGAAAACTCCATATGAAATATTTTTTGGACAGAAACCTGATGTTTCTAATTTGCGTTTGTATGGAAGTAAAGTTTTTGTACGAAGACCAGAACAGAAGAGAATCTCTAAATGGGATAAGAAAGCTGATATGGGAATTTTAATTGGTTATAGTAATGTTGGTTATCGTGTATTATTAAATGGCAGAGTCATTGTTGCTAGACACGTGGATATTGTTGAAGAAAACGTTAAGTGTATAGGTTTAGACTTTAACGAATCAGATAATGATAATAATGAAGAGTGTTACCCTGATAAAATTGATGAAAGCTCTGAAAATGACTCAATAGATGAAACTTTTGAAAGTACAAATGAAAGTATGGATGATAGTGTGAATAAAAATGAACCTGAGTTACCTAGATCTCACAGAGCCAAAAATCCTCCAAAGAAATTTGATGACTACTATGTATATAATAGTAGTATTTTTGTAAATATGTGTAGAACTGATATACCACATACATTTGAGGAGGCGATAAATTCTAATGAAAGTAAGTATTGGAAAACAGCTATGGACAAAGAAATTGATAGTTTAAATAAAAGTAAAACTTGGAAATTGGTTAAAAATGATACAAACAAAAATATTCTGGATGTTAAATGGGTTTATACTAAAAAGTCTGATAATACTTATAAAGCTAGATTGGTTGTACGAGGTTTTCAACAAACTGATGAAATTGATGATATTTATTCACCTGTGGCTAAAATGCAAACATTAAAGATTTTATTGTCATATTGTTGTCAAATGGGCCTAGTAATTGAACAAATGGATGTTGAAACAGCCTTTTTAAATGGTAAAGTAATTTCTGAAGTTTATATTAAACAACCTAAGGGTTATGAAGATGGAACAAGTAAAGTTTGTAAATTAGTTAAAGCTTTATATGGTTTAAAAGAAAGTCCAAGGGCATGGTATGAGTGCCTAGATACATTTTTGATAAATTTAGGTTTTGAAAGAAGTAATATTGATCCTTGTTTGTACGTTTATAAAATTGGAAATGATATTATTTACTTATTAATTTATGTCGATGATTTATTGATTTGTGGTAGAAATTTAAATGAAATTAAAAGGATTAAAATTTTATTATCAGAAAAATTTAAAATGAAAGATATTGGTGAAATTAAAGAATATCTTGGTATTACTGTTGATTATGATTCTAGTAAACATGAAATGAGATTGGATCAAAATAAATATATTGAATTATTAAGAAAAAAATATAATTTAGAAAAAGGTAAACTGTATAATACACCTATGGAAGTAAATTTAAAAATTGATAAATCTGATCATTGTGAAAGAAATATTAAATATAAA